CTCCTGGGCTCAAGTGATCCTCCTGCCTCAGCCTCTCGAATAGCTGGGACCACAGCCATGCACCACCATGCCCAGCTAATTTTTCTATTTTTAGTAGAGACAGGGTCTTGCTCTTGTTCAGGCTGGTCTTGAACTCCTAAACTCAAGCGATCCTCCGGCCTTGGCCTCCCAGAGTGCTGGGATTAAAGGCGTGAGCCACCGGCCCAGCCATGTGATTTTCTTGATTTATTTTTCAGATAGTTTGTTGTTGCTATACAGAAACACTAACGACTTATTTTGTTTGTTTTGTCTTGTTTTTTGAGACAGGGTTTCACTCTGTCGCCCAGGCTGGAGTGCAGTGGTGTCATCACAGCTCACTGCGCCTCAGACTCCTGGGCTCAAGGGATCCTCCTGCCTCAGCCTCCCAAGTAGCTGGGACTACAGGCACTCATCACCAAGCCTGTCTAATTCTCCTATTTTCTGTAGAGATGGGGGTCTCACTCTTGCTCAGGCTGGTCTGGAACTCCTGACCTCAAGTGATCCTCCTGCCTCGGCCTCCCAGAGTGCTGGGATTACAGGTGTGAGCCATGGCACCCAGGCACTACAGACTTTTGTATGCTGATTTTGTATCTCACAACTTTACTGAATTTGTTCATTAGTTCTAACAGTTTTTTGGTGGAATCTCTGTTTTAAACCACCCAATTTGTGGTAATTTGTTATGGCAGCCATAGGAAACTAACAGGCTGGATGTCTTGTTATCAACACATCCACCAGAGAGTGCTGCGGTCATGTGGGAAGGATTCTGGAGGCCCCTTCCCAACCAGAGCCAAGGATGGAATAATTTGAGCCCCAGGAAAAGATAACTCAAGGAACTGAAGCACATCAAATATGTTGAAATCTACACATTCTTATTACAAACACAAACCCGTTGCCTTTATGGGTGCTGGGGAGCCCACTCTCTTGCACGCTGGTAACTCGAGGGACAGGCTCAGCACTTGCCAGCCTTTCCTACACAAACAGCACCACTGGGCAGCCGAACAGCACGCGCAGGCAGCCTCCGCTACTGAAGTTCCCCAGCAGACAGGTGAGCACGGCAGCCCGTTGCCGGCCCACGCGGGTGTGATGTGGATGAGCCTGACACCAGCGGCTTCCAGCCCACAGCACAGCAGACACGCCGAGCGCCTCCCGGTCAGGAAAACGCCGCCACTCCAAAAGCCTCTTGCCCACGGGGAAACCCAGCTCTGTAAAGCCTCTAAATGCACATACCAGTTAGCAGGGAACGCAGAGGACGGGTCACTAGAGGGAGGGGGAATGCAGTCAGCAAAATGCCAACAAAGGAAGTTCCCTTGGACAAATGACCCACTTTCTTCAAAGAGGTGAATCACTAGAAGATGGAGTGGAACCCTCTGGATTAAAAGACATGTCTGCGAAGCCCAGGGGTGGCATGGAGGGCTGCACACCTGGGGGACAGAGCCATGTACAGAAAAAGAGGTCGGTGACTGCGGAGCCAGCGCAGGGCTGCAGGGAGGGACCCTCGGCGCGGACAGCAGACAGCCCCACCACGGGAGGTGTTTGCGGGTGTTCGCTTTTTAGCAATTCACCTGCGTGTTTGTTTTGTGTTGCTTTCTACGGACGCATTCCTTCAGCTATCGGGGGTTTTCTTTTCTTTTTTTTTTTTTTTAAGGAGACTGAGGCCAGGAGACTTGGTGACTGTTTGAAGAACGTGAGGGTGAGTTGGGTGACTGGCGCCCCAGGCTCTGACACGGGAGCTGGGAGGACGAGCGAGATGTTTACGGCGGCAGGTGCCACAGGGCACACGTGTCCGAGAGCCACGGGACTTGGTCTGTGCCCCGCTGTCAGAGCTCTTCAGCCCGGGCCACCCCCTCCTGCCGCAGCGCCCGCCAGTGGGCCCAGTGAGGTGTCAGAAGCACAACTCTTTCAAGGTTTTTATTGCCATCGGGCACAAGTGGCCGTGAGGGGCGGCGACGGCGGGTGGGTGACGGGGCCCCCCGTGAGGCCGAGGTGCATCGTTGCTGAGTCTGATGGTGGTGGTCTCCCCAGGGCCAGCCGCTGGGGGTGCAGCAGTGGTGGGGGACAGGCGGGCGGTCACCAGCGCAGGACGCCGGGGCAGTACTTGTCAACGAGCCCCTGGTAGTAGGGCCGCAGCTTGTCCACGTCCGGCAGGTCGGGGCTCTTGGTGTAGAGGTCAAACTTGCTGCAGCAGGGGGAGGAGCAGTGAGCTTCGTGAGGGACTCACCACCTCGCCCCCCGGCTCCCACGACCCCCCCGGGGACAACCGTACTTGAACTCCTGCACCCAGGGCAGCATGGCCAGGTCCTGCTGGCTGCACAGCTGCCGGTAGTCGCCGCCGGTGTGCCAGGGGTAGAAGGAGTGGAACCGGATCATGTAGAAAGCCTGCAGGTGGGCGCACACCGCGCGCTCGCACACACGCTGCTCTGGGCAGCGGGGCGCCCCGGTCAGCCCTCCCCACACCTACCTCCGGGGGCAGGGAGAACTTGTTGAACTTCATCATCTGGTACATGTACTCTGCGGAAGGAAGGGTGTCAGCACCAGGCACCTGGGGGCCGACCCTCCCCGCGACCCCCGTGCCCCGCCGGCCTCACCGTCGTGGCCCCAGGACATGAGGACTTTGTCGAGCCCGCAGTGGGGCTGGTACATGCCCAGTTCGGTGCTGCAGTGAGAGAGGACAGTGAGGGGTGCTCCGGAGCTGTGGGGCTGAGGAGGACCAGCTCCGGGGAGGGGAGCACCTGTATCGAGGGTCCTGGAGGTCGGGATTGTCCTGGAAGGTGGAGTCACAGAAAACCACAGAGGCCTGGGGACGGCATCCAACCGGGAAGGTGTCTCCAACGACCGCCCACTGGGGAGGAACAGCGGCCGAGGGTGGGTGGGCCGTGCACTGGCCCGGCCCCCATGTGGTGTCCCCAGCGCCGAGCCAGGCCTCCACCCCCATTCCCCACCCTGCCCTCACCTGGGGCTCCCCGAACAGAGCCAGGACCTTGCCCAGGTCATGCAGGAGCCCAACCAGGTGGAACCAATCTGGGGAGATGGCAAGTGGGTGAGGGGTGCAGGGGCCAAGGGGCCAAGGCCTGCTCCCACCCGGGGCGGGGCCTGCTGGGAGAGGGTGAGACCCCCCAGAACGCAGGGCCCCTGCCCTCGGCCCCTCCCCCACCGCAGCCGGGCGGGTGGGGCGCACCCTTGTCTGGGTGGGCCTTCCGGATGCCCTCCGCCGTCTGGAAGGCATGGAAGGAGTTGGGGAAGTCCACGTCCGGGTCTGACTCGTCCACCAGCTCATCGAGCATGGCCACAGCGTCCATGACGGTCATCTTCTTGTAGGAGAAGCCCCCAAACTGGGCGTGCTGAGTGGGGAGAAGTCAGCTGGGCCGCAGGGTCGGCAGGATACCCACGCGGTCCCTCCCTGTCCACCCGGCGCTCGTGGGCGCGGGGCTGCGGGTGGGCACCATCTCACCCGCGCAGTTTTCGCAGGGGAGCAGGAAACGCCCCGGCTCCTTGGCGGCCTACCTTCCTCCTGACGAAGTCCACGGTCTGGTGCGTGTGCATGAGCTTGTAGGTGGTGAACACGCGGTCCAGGAGCGGACCCGACTGCAAGCCAGAGGTCAGCGGAGGCTGCAGCCGCCCCGCCCTTCACACCACGGCCCCCCTGCCTCCCCCATCCCAGGCTGGGCCCCAGAAGGCACGTGGGGGCGCTTCCCAAAGGGCCCCCCTGGAGCTGTGTGAAGGGGCAGGTGTGGCTGGGGCGGGGTGGGGGTGCACAGAGCAGGGCGAGGTCCTCACGGCATAGTTCCGGAAGCCACCCTTGTCTTCGGCTGCCTCTGGGTCCACCTCAGGTCTGTAGACCAGGGAAGGGTCCGGGCCCTAGTTGGACGGAGGATTTAGCCTGTTTCACGCCGCGCCAGCTCCGGCAGGAAGTGAGGACACCCACTGGAGGGGGACGCCTGCGGGCACAGCCTCCCCCACGGCCAGCCCAGCCCTGGCGAATCTGAGGGGCTCCCACCGCCGCCGGTGTGGTGTCCTTCCCTGCAGCGTCAGTGGGCGGATGCCTGCTCCTGGCCTTGGGGCACCATGAGCGCGCACGGCACCCGCGCAGGGCGCACGCAGCTTTGCGGGGGAGACCCGAGTCCACAGGAAGCCTGGGGTCAGGTGCCACTGACCCCTGCCCCAGCAGGACCACGATGGGAAGGAGGGAGCCCTTTGACCGGGTCGGCCGGCAGGAACCAGCCGGAGAGGGTGGGAACAGCCGGCTACCAGGTGAGTGGGCGGTGGGACCACTTCCCCACCGGGCCTGGGTACTTACCACAACCTCCTTCATCCTGAGAGCGCGCAGGCAGGTGAGTCGCCGGCCAGGTGCCCTATATATGCCCACAGGTTACATAAGTGACCAGATGCCACCCAGCCCCTTGGCCTCCACTTTTGGTAATGAGTGACCATCCACCCTCCTCCTGAGCTCCACGAGTTAATGTGTCAGTACAGGAGCAGCCCCCGGTGGCCCCAGCCCCTCTCACCCTTATCTCAGCCTCCCGTCTGGAGCAACTGCCCCGCTGGGGCGTCTGAGGCCCGCTCTGCAGCCAGCCCCTCCCGTCGGGTGTTGCAGACCCCACCCTCAAGCACATGCCCCCTGGCTTCGGGAAGTGAAAGCCCTCCGGGGAACCTAGGACTCTGCCTGGGGCAGAAGCTTGTTGAGAAAAAATTATCGGGATAATTTGTTTAAACGGGAAGAAAAACTTTATTCAAGACTGTGGCAGCAGGGAAGAGAGCCTGGGCTCGACTCGATACAGCGAAGACAGCCTGGGCCTCGCGGCCGGGGAGTAGCGGGGTCAGCGGACGGCAGACTACGGAGAGGAGGCGTCAGGGTGGGGGCTCTTCCCAAAGCGACTTAGCAGGATTCTTGCAGGGTGATCAGATCGAGGGTGGGAGATGAGGAATTTGATCAGGTATGAAGGGTGGGGGGATTCTCGATAAACCGACCCTGCAGGATTCTTTCTGACTCTGGGCTGGGCTGGCCCTGCAAGGACGTGGCCAAGGTCGGGCGTCGTCGTGGAGAAGACTCCAGGAGCCTGTCCGGAGCCCGGCGGAGGGGAGAGTCCGTGAGGCTCTCGGGAGGGGCCTCATGGAAAGCCAGGGGCGGAGATGAACTCAAACTCCACTTGGCAGGGATGAGCCCGGCCCCGGTCCTGAGGACACGGCAGGGACCGCACTGAAAAAACGCCCGCCTGGGGAGCTGACCTCCTTGGAGCTGGGTTAGGACAGAGTTTGGGAAGAGCGGGGCGAGGGTGCGGGGGCGTGCAGATCCGAGCACCGGCTTCCCGCAGGAGGTGAGAAGCACGTGGAGAGTTGATCCCACCCAACAGGCCCCTCCTGCAGTGAGCCGAGAACAAACAGAGGGGGACCCTGGAGCCCCACTGAAAATGGCAAACTGGGCTGGGCACATTGGGGCACACCTGTGATCCCAGCACCTTGGGAGGCCGAGGCAGGATTGTTTTAAGCCAAGGAGTTCAAGACCAGCCTGGGCAGCATAGTGAGACCCCATAAAACTATTAGCCAGGCATGGTGGTGCATGCCTCTGGTATCTGCCAGTTGGGAGGCTGAGGTGGGAAGATCGCTAGAGCCCGGAGTTTGAGGCTAAAGTGAGCTGTGATTGCACCACTGCACTCCAACCTGGGCAACAGAGACCCTGCCTCAAAAAAAAAAAAAAGAATAAAAAATAAAACAGCAAACTGTAGCCCAACCTGCCCACTAATCCCCACCTGACTCCTCAAGGCTCCCTCACTTCCTCATCCCTCCCCACGAGAACATCAGCCCCGGGGGCCAGGGCTGTATCCTCAAGTGCGTCCCAGTGAGCAGGCGTCATACGTGCTCAGCACACAGCAGCCAGGCCATGGAGACCAGGCCGTCCCCCCAGGTAGCTGGTGCCCGGGTCAGGAGGTGTCTGCATAGTTTCCAAGGAGGGAGTGAAAGGAGGGGAGGAATTTGGCCAGGGAAGCTGGAAGGTGTTGCTGGGGAAGGTGGGGGTCCAGGCGTTGCTGCTGGGCCCGAGTGGGGCTCAGGTGGCACCCCGCATCCCGGGGGCTGGCTTCACACCAGATGCAATGCTGTGGGCTGTGACGGGCACCCTCCTGACACTGCACAGGATGCCACGAGGGCAACAGTGTGTCCCACTTCATGGAGAAGCCCGAGGCAGGTGGAATCCTGAGGACCCGGGAGCCTGTCTCAAGGGCCTGTGCTTCGATGCCCAGGGGCCAGGAGGGTGCAGGGTGTCACCTGGGGGGGGCCTTCCTGGCAGAGGGAACAGCTTGTACTGAGGTGCAGGCCAGTGGGGGGTATTGGACTTTGCCCAGGCCCCAGGGAGGAGGGGGGACATCGGGGAGGGTCCTGGCTGAGTAGGGAACACTGAGCCCCTGACCCTCCCGGCACCCCCCGTCCTCACTGCCCCGGCAGTGCACGCCCTGCCTGTCTCTCCTGACACCCTCCAGTAGCCGCAGGGCACAGGACTCTGAGGCTTTGGGCTGGACTAGCCCAGCTTTGTGGGTTCTCCAGCTCCTTCCACTGGGGAACCCCTGCTGTCCTCAGACCTCACCCAGACTGAGGCCAAGCAGCCTGCCTGGACAGCCCGGCTGTGCCCCCACCACGCTGCCCACCCTCTGCTGCAGCCGCCAGGCCTCCTGCAGGGCAGGGCCCCTTGTGGGGAAGGTGAGTCACCTGGGTGGAGCCAGGATGGGCACTTCTAGGTCTCGCCTACCTTGGGGGCCTGGGGAGCCTTAGGGGCAGGCTCGTGGCTCTTTTGCTCACTGTCCTGTGGGGCTGGGCTCCTGGCCCCATGCCTGGTTCCACTGGGTCCCTGCACTGGGGTGGTGGGGGCCGTATTGCCGGTGTAGCCCCACCCTCGTTTGGCTGGCCCCAGCCCTTTGACTAGGGGTGGGTCTTACTTAAGTGACCTATTTGAGCCGGGGGGCTCTTGCCCCCACCCCGGCCCCACCCTGTCCTAGGGTACAGGGGTGTCTGCTCAGCCCCAGCACAGCCCAGGGGGGACCCTGAACTGCCAAGCCCTGCCCCAGCCACCCACAGGGGAAGGAGACAGGGTCCCTGTCACAGCGCAGAGGCCCCTCGTGACCCCAGGGAACCCCAGCATCTGTCTTCCTCCCTGCCACCCTTCCTGTCTCAAGGGCACGGGGAGGAAGAGGCTGTGGACCTGGGGTCAGGCACACGGAAGGGTAAACTGTGCGGCAGCCCAGGGCCAAAGCAGGGCTTCAACCCGACTGCACCAGCACGGCAGGGCACGTCCAGCCAGTTCAGCCTCTCTCGCCCCCTCGCCCAGAGGTGGCCCTGTGTGTTCAGGACCCTGGCTTCTGTTCCACATCCTTGGGTAGACCCCCTCCCTTCTGAAGCCCTTTTCAGCATCTGCTGCTGCCAGCCACTCTGCCTGGCACCTGTGCCCTGAGTGTGCACAATTCTGGGTGTGCAGGCCCCTTGCTGTATAGACGCTGCTTGTAGACCCGCCTGGGTCTACACATGTGCATAGGTTTATGTCTGCAGGAGCTCCGAGGGACTGGGCCGGGGCTCAGCTGCAGCTCCGGGGCTGGGCAGGGGTGCGGCCAGCCCCCCTCAGCCATAGCTGTGGGGGCTGCTGGGGTCCACAGGCACTGAGTCCCGCCGGCCGGCTGGTCCCACAAGCTGCCACAGGCGGTGGCTGAGATTGTGCACCTGGCAGGTCCCCAGCACACAGCCCACCCGCAGGAGCTGGGCTCGGGGCCTGTGGGAGCCCAAGTGTCTTCGGGGACCTGAGTGTCGGCTGCCACCATCCGGCAGTGGCTGACCCATAGCAGGGGCCAGGCTGGAACTCCTCTGTGGCTGGAGGGCCTGATGAAGCTTCTGGACCACAGGCCGGGGTGCAGGCTGCCAGGGCTGCAAGCCTCGGGAAGAGGCCCGGGCTGGGGGCTCCCTGCAGAGAGGGATGGGGATGTCAACCTAATGGCTCAGCCTGTCACAGAGCCCCAAGCCCACCCACTTTCCCCTCCACACAGCCTGGGGTCACTGCCAGGGGAAGCCCACTGCCCCACCCCCCCACAGCCTGGGGTCACTGCCAGGGGAAGCCCACTGCCCCACCCCCCCACAGCCTGGGGGCACTGCCAGGGGAAGCCCACTGCCCCACCCCCACACAGCCTGGGGTCACTGCCAGGGGAAGCCCAGGTCCCTTCTGAGCTCAGGGCCTGGGTCCTGGCAGCTCAGCCATCTCAGCAGCGTGGGTCACATGTCCTGCTAACAGCACCTCCCTGGGCAAAGGGCACCCTGGCCCGGTGGGTCACCGCTCCCAGGACTCAGGGGGGCTGCGGCGGGGCCCTTCCCTTAGGGTGGTCAGTGGTGCGCCCGGGGATCCCTCCCGCCTCCCCCAGCAGACCCCAGGGGACGAGGGGGCTGCTCGGTCGCCAGGTGCGTGGGAAGAGGGGCAGCTTGACCTGTGTCGCTGAAGGTGTGGGGTGGGCCCTGATTCGAGAGGCAAGCCGAACAGCCGGCGGCGGGGCTCCCGGCGGGGGTTGCGGCTGAAGGGAGGGAGACAGGCTGCCCGGGCGTTCTGGGTCCCCGCCGGGGCCAGGCCCCGGCTGGTCCGCCCCGCACTCACCGACGTCTGACGGGCCGCGGGCCCCCGCCCGGGCCGCGGGACAGCGCGCCCGGGAGCTGCAGGCAGAGGAGGCTGATGCAACCGACGGCGACCGGCAGGACCCGGGCCATGGCGACGCGGCGGGGAGCGGGCGGGGGCGCGCAGGTGGGGCGGCCTCAGCCTGGAGCGGCCGCCCGCGCCCTGGGAGTCCCGCGTCGGGGGCCGGGCCGGGCACCTGCGTGCGTCGGTCGCGGAGCAGAGCCGGGGGCGGCGGGCGGTCCGGGGTCCTAGCGGGACGTCGCCCGGGCGGCTGGGAGAGCTCCGCGCGCTCTTCCCGCAGGGGCGGAGCAGGACGCACGCACGGGGCGGGGCGCCCCTCCCCCGCCCCCGCCCCCCCGCGCCGACCCCTGCCGGGCCCTGGGGCCCCCGGGGGCACCGGCCTCGGTTTTCGCACCTTCTGGTGCGGACCCAGGCCCGGAGCCGGGGGCCTGGACTTCCCGGGCTGAGGGGCTGGGCCGCAGGGCAGGGGCGGCCCCGGCACCCGGCGGCGCCCACCCCGCCCCGAGGGCGGACGGAGGAGCGGAGAATCCGCGGGCGTTCGGTTCCCTCCAGAGGCAGCTCCCGACCCCCGCAAGACTCTCGAGCGGCTTTGTTTCTAAGTAAATAAAGTCGTTTCCCCCGGACTGAAGAATGAGTTGGTTTTTGTAGGACCTCCCCTCCCCCACACGGCCACCCGCGCCGGGTCCCTCTCCCAGGTGCTGACCGACCTGTCCCGGACGCCGGTGCGTTGTGGGAGTGTCACGCACACATGTGCGAACCCGCGTAAGAGTGGGTGTGAACACAGAGACCCTCATTCTTTCTTACGGCTGGTCCTGCTCCGATACGTGGGTGTTGCGTGATTGACTTAATCCCCCCTTTATTAGCGCACGGTTAGGTGATTTTCAGGCTTTGCCCCAGCAAGAACGCTGCTGCCGTGAGCTCGCACGCGCGGCTCATAGGACCCTTCCCAGAAGCAGAAATTCTGGTTGGAGGTGAGCGCGTGTTCAGCAGGGAGTGCCAGGTGGTTCTGCACAAAGCTCGTGCCAACGCCCTGCCCACCAGTAACGGACTTGTGTCTGCCACTGGTTCTCAGCCTCTGTCTTCTGGGAGGGGCAAGGATCTCATGCCCCAGTGGACCTTTCTTCTCTTGTCTGACCACCCCTGCGTCCCTTGTTGTTTCCTCCCCTGCCTGGGCACTGTGTCCCTCCTGCTGAGCACAGCACGGGGTTCAATAAACATTTGCTGGATGAATGGACCCATGAGTGCTGTGCGCTGGGTACGTATGTGCCGTCCTACATGGCGTGGTTTACATCCCGAGGAAGGTAGAGAACCTCTGGCAGATTTTCCCTGCTTGATTTATTAATATTTTTACCAGTTGGGGGCAGGAAGTGGTCCCATTTGTTAGAAAGCTGGAGTGGCCGCCAGGAAGGCAGGCGAACATGGGGCTGAGAGGCAGGTGCCGGGAGGTGGGCAGGTCTGAGAAATTCGGCAGGGCCCATTGTGAGGGGGCTCCCAGCTCTGCGCACAGCCCTGAGGAAGCTGCGGCTCACAGCTGCAGGGAGCTGCTGGAGAGGGTGGGCGTGCAGAGAGTGCCTCACCCAGGTAGAGCTGTCTGGTCAACTCCAGCCCTGCCGGCCTGGGGCTGAAGAGAGGGCAGGTCTGGAAGTTTGCGGGATTTCAGAGGTGGCGAGGCTCTGGGAGGTATGGGGAGCACAGAACTTCACAAAGAATGCAGAGAGAGGCTGAGGACAGAATCCGGTATGTCAGCTCTGCAGGGTCAGGTGGGGAAGGGGACGTGCAGAGGACCCCAGAGGCAGGCCGATTTGCAGCTGCCTCTCCTGCCGCAGCCTCCGTGCTCTGCCCTCAGCCTGTCTTCCACGGAGCAGCTAGCACCATCCTTCCAAGACACAAACGCAATCATATCACTCGCCCCATCAATATAGAAATAATAGATTAAAACTCCCTGTTTTCACAAGGTTTTTAAAATCAGGGACAGGTGGACATGAGCCTCAGCGAGGGTCATAGTCTTCAAGGCCACTGGTTCTTTCTTCCGGACTCTGGGGCGACAGAACAATCACTGCCCCCCATCCCCAGCCCTGAGCCCACGGTCCTGTATCCCTGGAAGCCTGAGGGGAGGGGTGTCCTCTGCCCTCAGGCTTCAGTCTGGCTGCCTCTGCCCCTCCCAACTGGATTAGAGGCCCCTCTGTGGTCCCATAGCCCCTGCACTCCTGGCATGTGACTGTCCGTGTACCCTTCATGGGGAGACCCAAGGGCCTCTTTCCTTTGTCTTTAGTTGGGGAAAGTGCTTCTGGGGAGCAACGGGGCTGTCCTCCCAGCACCACCGTCCATGGACACAGGTAGACAGTAGACCAGATTCTGTGTGACCTGGGGCCGGGCCCCAGGAGGGCTGGGTGGTGCTGGCTGCATTGGGGAATGCTTCAGAGAAGTTTGTGTGGGGCAAAAAAAGCTAGGGAGACAAATGGTTGGGCAAACAGCATCCAGGGAGGTTTTGTTTGAGTGTTTCAAGGTGGGAGAGGTTGAGTTTGATCCCGATGCCAATGATCCTGTGGACAGGGAAGGGTTGAGTATGGTGGGGGCACTGACAGTGAACAGCGGAGGGGAGGAGAGCAGTGGTCAGAGCCTGCAGGGACTGGAAGTAGGTGTGGGCGTGGGTGCAGGACTGGGGTTTGGTGGTGCAACTTGAGGCCTCTGGCTTCTCTTTTCTTTGTGAATGAGGGGCAGCCAATCGTCCCTGAGACTCCAGAGGTGGGGCTGGAGGATTGAGGGAATGCAGACCAGAAGACAGCAGACCAGATGTCAGTCGGCTGTGCAGTTCAGGGGAGAGGAAGGAGTGGCTGTCCACCCCGGGCTGGGGCCATGGTCTCACTGTGGCCACTCTAACCTGTATGGTGGGCGCGGGCCATGCATGGCTGTGTTTTGCCTGATGGGAACAGTGAAAAAAAAAGAGAGGCAGGAGGCCTAACACATTGGCAAAATGACAGGCCACGGGAGCTATGATGGCTGGGGGCCATGGGACGGAGGGGTTGCTCCCTAGAGGAGGCCTGAATCTGCTGGGGTGACAGAAGGGTCTGGGACACCACAGGTCCCAGAGAAGGGGAGGAAGCTGGGCCCAGAAGCAGCCACTCTGACGGTGCAGCAGGTGGGTGCTTGACACAATGGCAGGAACCTCGGAGGGGGGATGCTGGTCTGGAAAGGACCCCCACAGGAAATGGGGGCTCCCTAGGCTGAGGTCCTCAGAGATGGCTGTTCCCAAGGGCCCAGTGAAAGGGCATGAGGATGAGGTGAGTGGGGTTCGGGGTCCCCACAGTCTCTGGAAGGACAGCCAGCCCTGGACTTGCCCAGGGTCCCTGCCAGCCCGTACACAAGCTCCGTGGGGTGGTGAGGACCTGCTTGGGTGCAGGTGACAGAAACAAAGTTGAGCCAGCTCAGGCCAAGAGGAAGATTTCTCAGCTGTGTGAACCAACAGTGGCAGAGGAGGGGTGTGGCTTGGCCTGTCCCCCGGGGGCAGTGATGGCACCCTGGTGGGGTCTCTTCCTCACCTCTGCTCTTTGCATTTGGGTTCAATCCTTCTCCTAGGCTGGTTCCTGCACACGGATGGAACAGGTATACCAGCCACGGAACGGTCAGTTCTTGCAGCAGCCGGTGGGGCTCCCTCTGCTCCCTCCCGTGGCATCCCGCCCTTGGCTGGTGTGTCCCCTTTGCCCTCCCTGTGCCACTGCGATGCTGGGCATTCTCGGGGTTCTGCGTGGTGCAGCCTTCCTGGAAGCCCGGGCGCCGTGGCCTCCACGTGCCTCACACGCTCTGTACCAGGAGACGTGAGCGCGCCTCTCCCCTGGGACAGGGTCTGGCTCTGTCGCCCAGGCTGAGTGCAGCGGCGTCATCACAGCTCACTGAAGCCTCAAGCTGCCGCGCTCAAGCATCCTCCCGCCTCTGCCTCCCGCGTAGCTGGGACCGCAGACGCGCACCACCGCGCCTGGCTGATTTTTCTATTTTTAGTAGAGACAGGTCTCGCTCCTGCTCCGGCTGGTCTCGAACTCCTGGGCTCGAGCGGGCGTCCGGCCTCGGCCTCCCAGAGCGCCGGGATACAGGCGCGGGCCAGCGCCGGCGAGCGCGCCTTTTTCTCAGGACCTGCGCTAAGCAGGGGCTCCTGCCTTCCCCGCCCGACGGCGCGGCGCGGGGTAGGGGGACCGCAAGGCCGGCCGCACCGCGGCCGCTCCTCCCGCCGCCCGCAGCCAGCCCGGCCGGGGCCGCTGACCCGCGCGAGCCGCCGTCCGCGTCCTCGGCCGGAGGGCGGCACCCAGGCCCGGGGGCGGGCAGCGGGGGGCGGGGCTCCGCGCTCGGGCGTTGGCCCGGCGCCGGCCAGACCAATGGGAGCGGGCATCATAGGCCCCGCCCACGCGGGGGCGGGGCGCGGGCGCGCAGGCGCACGGCGCGGCCGGGCGGGCCGGCTGGCTGGGAAGATGGCGGCGGGATCCCTGGGCGCCGCCGCTGCCGCGGAGCGGGCCCGGGGCGTCCGGGCTGCGAGGTCCAGGGCGGAGGCCGGGCCATGAGCGCGTCGCCCTCGAGTGCCCGAGCCGCGGAGCCCGCCCGCGCCCCCCGGGCCGCCCCGCCTCCCTCGCCATGGCGCGGCTCGCGGACTACTTCGTGCTGGTGGCGTTCGGGCCGCACCCGCGCGGTGAGTGCGGCGGCCGGGGCCGGAGGCGGCGTCCGGGCAGCCCGCGAGGACATGGGCCGCCGGCCGGGGAGGCGGGCCGGGCGGCGTGGCCTCGCGGCGGCCCGGCAGGAGCAGGGCCCGGCGGCGCAGCCTGCCCGGCTCCCGCGGGTGGGCTGGGCGCGCTCCCCGGCGGCCGCGGTGGCGGTGCCTCCTGGCGCGGGCTGGTGGCTTGCCAGCCCTCCTCTGACCCGGAGCTGTGTCCGAAGCCTTTAGCGGCCTTGGCGGGGTGCAGAAGAGGGGTGGGGTTCAGGGGCTGTTTCACGGAGAGGCGGTGTTCGACCTGAAACTCGAGGACTTCGGGAGGAAATGTCGGGAGTGGAGACAAGAGCATTCCTGGCGATCAGCCTGCCTGTCCGGGCCTTGCAAGCCAAGCCCTGGGTGGGGGGTCAGGGCCTGTGTCTGAGAGCCCTTCAGCCCAGGGGGGTAGGAGAAAACGGAGCCTGACAATGACATCAGCAACAGCCGTGGAGACAGTGCGTTGGCAAGCGAGCTCCGTGTGCCAGGCCCTGCCCGGCCCTTTGTGTGTGTGATCTCACTTCTTCCCAGCAGCCCACCAAGGTTGCCCTGTTGTTGCCCCATCTGTAGAGCAGTCAGGCACAGAGAGGTTTAGTGCCTGGTCTAAGCTGGCACGGAGAGGCTGGGCCTTGTACCAGGTTGTCAGATCCCAACCGCAGGGGGCGGTTGTCCTGGGGATGGCTGTGTGGTCAGGCTGGGGCTGGACCTCGAGCCTGGAGGTGAGATTGAGCCCCCGCTTCCCAATTTCCCTGCTGCTTGTCAGTCCAGCTGCCACTGTCTGCACCCAGGACCTGCTTTCTCTCCCCTTTGCCTTTCTTCTTGCTGAGCGTCCCCCTACTGGACCCTGCGTACTCTCCGAAGCCTGTTTGGCATCTTCCTTGTCACCGGACCCTCCCCAGCGCCCTCTCCCTCGGCACTTGCACTCCTCTCTGCTCCCGTCTATCCAAGTATGCGTCTCTTGGCACCATGGTCATGAGCATCTGTCCTTTCCTCCAGAGAAGGAGTTCTCTTGGGCATGGACCACGTTGTCCTTGTCCCCTACACGGCAGGCTCACTGTCAGTGTTGTGCTGGCCCACCCAGGGAGAACCGTCTGCTCCAAGGCACTTGTGGGGGCACTGAGGAGGCCAGACCACCTGGAGTGGAAGGGTGCATGGGGATCGGGGAACAAGGCAGGCCGAAGGCTGGCCCAGCATGCTGGGCCTCTGGCTGGGTGCTGGGGCAGGGCCTGGTGATCCTGAGGGCAGTGTGGGGAGGCCAAGCGGGAGGTGTGGTGGCAGAGGGGGTGGAGATCGAGAGATGAGGGTGGATGAACGGGGAGGCACGTCTGGGTTCCCTGGCACACTAGTCCCCCGTGTGTGCCCACTCTGGATCTGCATGTGGGGCAGCACCTCCGGCACGTGTGTCCTCTGCGAGGGTGGGTAGAAGGCTGGAGCCTGAGTGCCCACTCCCTTGAGTGGCAGGAAGGAGTGATTCCCAGGCTGCCCACTGCAGTTGAGGGGGCATGGAGCCCCCAGCCACTGCCTTCCGGAAGGCAGCTTCCAGCTGGCACCCTTTAGAAGGACCCTCCATCCGTGTGAGGAACAAGCCCACAAGCTGGGACCCTGGCCATGCCCTGAGGGCAGAGCCAGGTGGTGGGGTGAGGAGGGAGGGAGCCGGAAGGAGGGGAGCAAGGTGTGGTGGTCAGTGGTTTGGTAGCTCTGTGACCTCAGGCCAGTCATTTGGCTCTCTGTGCCTCAGTTTCCTCATCCGGGGATGGAGAGACTCTCACTCACCTCCCAGGCTGCGTGAGGATGTGATAAACACAGACATGTGCAGCTGTGGCACATGGGAGGTCCCCGGAAACGATGAGCATCTTAATGGTTGAGCAGCAGGTGTGTGGATTCTCTAGGCACAGACACAACAGGAAGTTCTGAGGGGCGGAGGGACCCCTGCGTTCTGGCAGCCCAGGACACGAGGCAGAGTGCGGGGTCTCTTGGGTGGAGGTTAGGAGTGGCGAATGTGTCGTGTTTGGTCTGGGTCTGGACTCCTGTCTGGAGCCACTGGGTGCAGGGCCTGGGCGCTGAGCGTGAGTCTCAGCTGCCTGGGTTGGTCCAGAGTTCTGCCTGAGGGAGCCTCCCCACTGCTAGTGGCCGCCAGCGGGTGACCTCTCAGGAGAGTGGGGAGGGCCCCGAGACAGTGAGCGCCTGGGGTGGCTGTGACTCCTTCACCTCCAAGGGTGCAGGCGGCCAGCGCTGGCCCATCTGGAGGCCCCTCACCTGGTGAGTCAGAATCACCTTGCGCACCCTGGGCTCAGCTCTGGGGCCAGCCTGGGGACTAGACAGACACCCTCTGCCAGCTCTTGGCCCTGGAGTGCCTTGACAGTGGTCAGCTAGATTAACGCAGCTGCCCAGTGCCGAGGTGTCTGTGGGAGCAGGAGACACACTCGACCTGGGCAGTGGTCCTCCCGCTCCAGCAGCTGAGTGCGTGCCTGCCTGGGAGGAGGGGCGGGACCCCCAGCATCTGAGAAAAAGACTTCGTTCCATGGCCTTGGCTCTTTCAGTCCTGACCGTGCTGAGCTGGCCACACTCTGGAGCCCCATCTGCTGTCCCCACCCATGTTCCCGCCCTCTGGAGCAGGTTGGGGCTGTTTGGGATGGCCTCAGCTGCCTCTCAGCCCCCACCCTGGGAGCCTAAAGGGGCCCAAGGCCTTGGGTCTGGCTGCTTTGGGCTGACTGTGGTGGTGGGGAGGTGGGGAGGTTGAGAAGGACAGCTGGGGAAGCCGTAGGCCCCTCGCTCGCATCCTTCCACTGCGGCCGGCCTGGTGGAGCCGCCTGCGTGTTGAGGTCTGGGTGGGTGGTGCAGCAGGAAGGTGCTGTCCTTCCTTCTCTCCTCCTCCCTCTTCCTATAGCTGGGCTCTTCCCAGGCAGCAGAGCTGGCCAGTGCTGGTCAGCACGGACAGCAGGGTGTAGGGACAGCGGGTGTGTGGCGGGGGTGGAGGAGGCTGCCATCCGTTGCTGCCCCACAATGCACGCTGGCCCAGGCAGGGCCCTCCAGGCGTCAGAGCCTGGCACTGGTGATGGGGTGCTGCCAGCCGACAGCAGAACACGCAGTCTGTGTTCTCCCTTCAGGCCTGCAGCCTACATGGGGCTGGCTGCAGGAGAGAGTTCTCCTCGAGGAGCTTTGAGGACAGGAGCCTCAGTGTTGCCCTTGGGTGGGCCTTCCCTCATCCCTGGGTTCCAGGGTGGAGGGGACGGGGACTTCCTCCTGTCCCTGCCTCAGGGAACTTTGGTGCCCCTGTGACCCGCAGCTGTGCTGTTTGGATCAGTCCTGTCACTGTGGGGTGGAGGGGAGGACGCTCTCCCTCTTGTCTGCTCTGAGGCAGGAGCTTGGCTGCTGTAGATCGCTGACCCTCACAGCTCTAGGGCTTGAGTGGGTGGGGGATACTGGGGAGACATGGCAGAGCACCCTGCACCCCGAGGGCACAGAGCCCAGGTGCAGGCTGGGATCTCATAGGGCGCGAGGAGAGGGCCAGCCCCTAGCTGGAGCTGTGGGGCCTTTCCATGGCATGCCCTTCTGGGGTGCTGCATCCTGTTGGCCTTGGGGCTGCGGAAGCTGCTCTGTACTTCCGACCGAGGAGCCTTTTTGCTTGGGGGGTGTGCGTGAGGCTGGGTGTGGGGAGGACGGTCATGTAGCCGACTGAATGCATTCCACAAGCCGTAATTAGGCTGTGGTCTGTGTCAGGAGCTGGGCCCAGCTGGTGACAGGTGTACCAGCGGCCACTGGGGGTGTGGAGGGAGGGCGGTCCTCGGGGTCCCTGCAGGTCCCAGGCTTGGGGCAGAGAGCTTCCCAGAGGAGGGGACACTGGGCTGAGACCCAAAGGGCAGATCTAGGGCCGTCATGGCCCCGAGGAGCTTGGGGAGCGATGCCTGCTTGGCTGGCCTGACCTGGCCCTCCACCCCCAGCTCAAGGAGCGTGGAGCTCAGGGTTGGTGCTGTGGAGGGTGGAGCCCTTCAGAGGGCTCTCAGGCCGAGTGGCATGTCGGAGGTGGCGTGGACGGTGACCAGCAGCTCTGTGCCGTTCCCCTGCCTGGCCTTGCTGGGAGGCTGCAGAGTAGAGGCTGCTGTCCCTGTTCGCACACCCTGTCTTCCTTCCTCCTCCTGCTGCCTCGTGGCAAGAACTGGGTGAGCCCTGGGTGCCAGCCAGGGCTGGGCCCGGATGGTGGTTTGGGGCCCAGCACAAGGAGGCCCCTGGGGGAGTGGGTGGGGGGCGGAGCATCTGGGCGTGCAGGCCTGGGTGTGTGGAGGTGGGGGTGGCACTGGCAGACACCTGGCCCCACTGCAGCGTCCTCTACAGGTGTCAGTGGTAGGAGGGGGAGGGGGAGGAAGCTGAGGTTTTGAGAGTCAGAGTCGGCCTCTCACTGCCCCACCACCTCCCTGTCTGCAGCAGCCTGCCTGTTCCTGACTGTCTGGCCCCGCCTCCGGGATCCTGCAGGGCCCAGTGGTCTTCCAAGGCTGCAGCCCAGCCCCCCTGCCTTTAGGGGACCTGGGGGGCATGTGGAGTTGGGCTGCTGGGTCTGCTCGCCTGTGCACAGGTGGCCCAGGCTGGCTGGACGCGGGGTGTGTCCCAGCAGGCTCTCAGAGGCCGGGGGTCCACGGGAGGCTCTGTGTCACGTGCCCTCCCCTTACCCATCTGCCCCTGCTCCTTTTGGTGTGGGCGGCAGTGCTGAGGCCCAAGCAGGGGACGGGGGGACCCTGTGCCCGGGGACCTGCGGGTTGGTGTGGAAGTGAAGGTGAGGATGCCTCTCTCTTCCTGTGCATCCTGCTCTCTGAGTCCCAGGGAGCCGCCTCTTGGCAGGAGCTGGGCGCTAAGTGTCCCGTCGTGGCCCTCGTCCTGCTTCCTGTTTGGTTCTGAAGGGGGGCAGCCACAGGCATGGGCCTTCACCCCATCAGTGTGGACTGGACCTGGAAACAGTGCCCTGGCTATGGTTTTGGGGGGAAGGAGGCCAGAGGGGTCATGGGGTTCTGAGGAGAGGAGGGGGGTCTCTGGGGAAGACATCGGCCTCCTGGCACCCCTTCCCCCAAAAGCCCCCCTTCCTGGCTCAGGAGACCAGGGGCTGTGCTCGGGGCCTGTCGTCTGGGCTGCGCTCAGGGGCTGCCAGGGCAGGGAGCAGGCCTGGGGCCACCACCTTCCCACGCTCCCCAGAGCTGCTGGACCCCAGGGCGCAGGAAGCCGTCTGGGCACCCTGAGACCACGTCTCCACCCTCCACCCTCTCTGGGCCCTGCTGGCTGTGGGAATGGTTCTAACAGATGCTCACTAAACCCCATCTTCTGGAACCTGTGTGGGCACCCATCTGTCTCGAGGTGCTGTAGACGGGAAGCAGTTTGGGTTGTGGGCACGGGTGGTCTCCCTGCTGCTTCTTGGACCCCGCACAGACAGTGGGTTCTTTGCACCCCGGCATGGGCCGTGGCTGGCAGGTGACCGGGAGCTCCAGGGTCTGTGCCGCACAGCAGACGTGCCCTGTCGGTGTGGCGTTCGCAGCCTGGTGGGCTGTGAGAGTCAGGGGGCTGAGGGCCTTAATGGGGGGCTGGCTGTGGGGGCAGATGCCAAGCGGGCTATGGAACATTCCAAAACTGTTGCTCTCATTAGAGGGGCTCATGCTGTGTGAAGCTGGGCTAGTCTGTGACAGACAGAAAGAGGTCTCTGGTGTGTGGCACTGACGTGGTGGGGGCTGGGGGGCATGGCTTGCAGGAATCTGGGAGCTTCTCTCTCTGCCCCCAGATCTGGTGGCCATGGGGTCTGCGGCTGCCTAGCGGCCTCTCCACAAGAACTATTTTTAGGTAATTGAGGCTTGTCTGGTGCCAGGTGAGGGCCTGGTGGGTGGGGTGTTTCCACCCCGGGCCACAAGGCGGCTGCCTGGACCCTCGAGCCTCCTGGTGGGTGAGGAGTGGGAGGTGTGGGGTGCTCTGACCACCGCCGTTGTCCTCAGGGAGTGGGGAAGGCCAGGGCCAGATTCTGCAGCGTTTTCCGGAGAAGGACTGGGAGGACAACCCGTTCCCCCAGGGCATCGAGCTGGTGAGTGGGGCAGGCGGGCTGGGTGGCCTCTCGCTTGAACCCCCAGGACCGAGGAGCCTCCACAGTGCCTGGCCCCTGCCAGGCTGGGGACGGGAGAGGGCAGAGCTGCTGTGCAGGGCAGGGGCGGCAGGCTACCTGGTGCTCACGTCACTGGGTCGTGTTGTCACTCGCTCCTGACGGTGGGGACCTTCCCTTGTCACCTGGCTCCCACCCCAGCTGGGGAAGCCAGAGACTCTTACTCCTGAGGCCCAGGAGGCGGGCGAGGCGTCCCCAGGCTCACAGCACTGTGCGTGCACTGAGCCTCCAGCCCTGGCAGTGCGGACACGGGGCAGTGGGCAGTTTCCCGCTGCAGGGCTGGGCAGAGGAGCTGACCGCTGAGCCCTCCCCGCAGTTTTGCCAGCCCAGCGGGTGGCAGCTATGTCCCGAAAGGAATCCACCGACCTTCTTCGTTGCCGTCCTCACGGACATCAACTCCGAGCGACACTACTGCGCCTGTCTGACCTTCTGGGAGCCGGTGGAGCCCATGCAGGTCAGCTTGGGGGCTCCGGGGTGCAGCAGGTGTGAAGGAGCCCTCGGGCTTCAGCTACCTCCCCGCCTCTGCCTCTGGGTTCATCTTCCACCCCGCGGAGGCTGGAGTTCCTGGAGGGCCAGGCCAGTCTGAGCTGCCCGTGTCCTCCCTTCCCCAACCCTGGCGAGAAGAGAGCTGGGAGAATGGGCTTCTGTCTGTAGGAAGCAGCGTGCTCTGAGGACACCGCGGAGCGGGAGGAGGCAGTGGATGAGGGAGGCCAGGTGGGGCTGTCGCCCACAGCGCCTGCCCCGGCCGGCCAGCTGTTTGCTCCGAAGACCCTGGTGCTGGTGTCACGACTGGACCACGCGGAGGTGTTCAGGGTGAGGAGGCGGCTGGGGCGGTGGGCTGGGCCAGTGGGCTGGGACGCGCGTGGCCCCTCAGCCGCACCGTCATTTCCTGGTCTGGTCCTTGCAGAACAGCCTGGGTCTCATCTATGCCATCCACGTGGAGGGCCTGAACGTGTGCCTGGAGAATGTGGTTGGGAACCTGCTGACGTGCACTGTGCCCCTGGCCGGGGGATCACAGGTGGGTCTTGGGGACAGCTGGTGTCCCCACACCCACAGGCTCTCCTGGTACAGTCACAGGGGATGGCCCTCGTGGGCACGTGGCGTCCAGCCGGGGCTGCACACGGCCAAGGCCTTGGACGCGCCCTCCGCATCTTGGTTCCGCTGCCGTCTGTCCTGGGCCCTGCCTGCTTGCCTGGTCCTCGCTTCTGTGCTTTTGGGCCTGCGTCCTCTGCCTCTGTGCTCTCCCTGTGGGTGTGCGCCTGTCTCTGGATCCTGGTGTCAGCTTGTCTGTCTGCTCCCTGCCCTGTGCTCTCGTGAGCTGGGCGTGTCTAACCGTGTCTCTCTGCCCGTCTGTCCTGTGCAGCTGGACTCTGTTGAGGAAGGAGCGGTATGGATTCTTTGTTTCTTTCCCCACCCAGGCCCCGCCCCCGCCCCACTCAGAGGCAGCCATCTCTGCCCTGAGTTTTCTCTGCAGCGCTGTTCAGGCGACAGGCGGGCGTGGCCCTGCCCCTGCGCGGTGCCACCGCCCCAGCCAGTCCTACGCGGGTCTGTCTGTTCACAGGGCCTGCCCTGGGCCACAGAGCTCTGGGCTGACTTGGGTCTGGTCCACCTGCTGAGCCCTGACCCTTCTCTTTCCACAGAGAACCATCTCTCTGGGGGCTGGTGACCGGCAGGTCATACAGACCCCACTGGCCGACTCGCTGCCAGTCAGCCGCTGCAGTGTGGCCCTGCTCTTCCGCCAGCTGGGTGAGCCTGCCCGTCCTGCCCAGGCGCGGCTTCCTCTCCCTGGGCTGGGGGTCAGGGGTGGGTTCTCTGTGCCCAGGGTGGGGCCCAGGGCCCTCTCCAAACTTCTCTTCTTCAGGCATCACCAACGTGCTGTCTTTGTTCTGCGCTGCCCTCACGGAGCACAAGGTCCTCTTCCTGTCCCGGAGCTACCAGCGACTCTCAGACGCCTGCCGGGGCCTCCTGGCACTGCTGTTCCCTCTCAGATACAGGTGCCCACACCGTCCCGCCCCCACACCTCGTTCCCCACCCAGCTTCCCCGCCCGGCCCGTCCTGGGCTCACTGCGTCCTCTGGCGCCTGTGCAGCTTCACCTACGTGCCCATCCTGCCAGCCCAGCTGCTCGAGGTCCTCAGCACCCCCACGCCGTTCATCATCGGGGTGCACGCGGCCTTCCAGGCAGAGACCCAGGAGCTGGTAAGGGCTGTGCTTGTGGCCCCCTCACTGCACAGGCCTGTGGGTCCCTGACCACTCGCTCCCTTGGCCACAGCTGGACGTGATTGTTGCTGATCTCGATGGAGGGACGGTGACCGTCCCCGAGTGTGTGCACATCCCACCTCTGCCGGAGCCACTGCAGAGCCAGACGCACAGTGTTCTGAGCATGGTGAGGGGCCTCAGGGAAGCTGCGGCCTGGTGGCCTCGGGTCGCGGCTGCCTGGCAGCCAGGGGCATCCAGAGCAGAGGCCGGTGTGCAGCCACCTGCTTCCCTCGGCCCCCGCAGGTCTTGGACCCAGAGCTGGAGCTGGCCGACCTCGCCTTCCCCCCACCAACGACGTCCACGTCCTCCCTGAAGATGCAGGTGGGCGTCGTTGCTGCTTCCGTGTGGAGACCCCCACGCTCCCTACCCTCTCACTTAGGTCTGCTGCCGCTGACGGCTGGCTGACAGGGCCGAGCCCATGGCGGCCCCGCCGCGGGCTGCCCCGGGCTCCTGTTGCCAGGCAGGAAGGAGCTGTAGACGGTCAGGTGTGGGGGCGTGAATGGCACAGCCGAGGCACAGGGGCCCCTTGAGGTCCAGGACGCAGTGTCCGGTCACAAAGAGCCTCTGAGGGTCCTGAGCAGGAGCAGCTTGTTCAGTTTGGGTGGAGTTGCGTGGCCGGCCGTGTGTGGGTGGTGGGTGGAGGTGGGCGGAGGAGCCTGGGCAGGGGTGGGGAGCGGCACCAGGCAGCCCGGGCCGGCACTCACCCCCGCGACCTGTGCTCCCAGGACAAGGAGCTGCGCGCTGTCTTTCTGCGGCTCTTCGCGCAGCTCCTGCAGGGCTACCGCTGGTGCCTGCACGTCGTGCGTGTCCACCCAGAGCCGGTTATCCGCTTCCACAAGGTGGGCCGCCCGGTGGCCGGGTGGGCGTGGCTGGGAGGGAAACGCCGGTGGACCCCTGGAGGCTGAGGCCCCGTATCTCCCCAGGCAGCCTTCCTGGGCCAGCGCGGGCTGCTGGAAGATGACTTCCTGATGAAGGTGCTGGAGGGCATGGCCTTTGCCGGTTTCGTGTCAGAGCGGGGGGTCCCGTACCGCCCCACGGACCTGTTTGATGAGGTGTGCCCCGCTCTGGCCCCTGGCCCCTGCCCCGCTGGCCTGCCTGACCCTGCCTCCCCTTCCCTCCTGCCCCAGCTGGTGGCCCACGAGGTGGCGCGGATGCGGGCTGACGAGAACCACCCCCAGCGTGTGCTGCGTCACGTCCAGGAACTGGCAGAGCAGCTCTATAAGAACGTACGCAGGCTGGCAGCAGAAGGGGGGCCTCGTGTTGCCTTGGTCCCTGGTCCCGACCCACACCTGCCGTCTCCTCTCAGGAGAACCCGTACCCAGCCGTGGCGATGCACAAAGTGCAGAGGCCGGGTGAGGCCAGCCACCTGCGCCGGGCACCCCGGCCCTTCCCGCGGCTGGATGAGGGCACCGTGCAGTGGATTGTGGACCAGGCCGCCGCCAAGATGCAGGGCGCGCCCCCCGCCGTGAAGGCAGAGAGGAGGACCACGGTGCCCTCTGGGCCCCCTATGAGTGCGTGATGCGGGAGGGGCAGGCCTCGGGTGCGGCCAGGATGGGGGCGGGGCCTGGGTGAGCATGTCCTGTCCCCTCAGCTGCCATCCTGGAGCGGTGTGGCGGGCTGCAGGCCAACAGCGCCCGCCGGCTGGAGGTGGTGCGCAACTGCATCTCCTACGTGTTCGAGGGGAAGATGCTTGAGGCCAAGAAGGTGAGTGGGGTTCTTCCACCCTGGGGTCAGGGAGTGGCCTTCAGCGGAGGCTCAGGCCTCCCCTGTGGGCTGCGGGACCACCTGAGGTGGCCAGAGGGCAGGGGTGTCGGTCACCCTCCTTGATCTCAGTGGCTGGTGGGTTGGGCCTTCAGGGGGGCTCAGCAAGCGGCATTTAATTGCAATTTTTGGAAATTGGAGGACCCTTAAGACTTCCGCTATTACGTTTTCTCTGTCCCCTTCCTCCAGAAAGGGCCCATGCATTTCCCGTATTTTGTAAATTTTAGAAAACGGAGCTCACTTCTGTGCCGCCACGCGTTCCACGGTGTTCACTTGACACCTCTGGGCCTTCACCACGGCCAGTCTGAGTCTGTCTGGGTTTTTTTGCGGCTTTGTGGCGTCCTCGTGGTGTCCAGTTGTATCATGAATAGTAGCAACAGCAGGACAAGCCCTGAGCCCTTTCTCTGGCCCGGCCTGTGCCACGTGGGTCACCTGCGCTGCGCGGGCTCGTGCTTTCTGGACACTGAGTGGGGGCCGTGGGGCCTCCCTCCAGGGCACGTCTCCTCGCTGGCCTGTGCGCTCGCAGCCTTAGTGCCCCACGTCTCCGTCTCTGTGCCCCTTCCTTGTGGACTCCTGGGTCCACCGAAGTTTTAGTCTCGGTTGGTCAGCGGAGCCCCCAAGCTGGGGAACAGCTCACCTGCGTGGCTTTCGGTCTCTGTGCTTGGAGCAGGGCTCTGGCCTCTGGGCACCCACGGCCCGCGCCCCCTGGCCTTGTGTGTGGGTCTTCCCCACGCCTCCCTGCGTGCCCTCAGCCCGTGTTCCCCTCGCCCCCGCCCCCAGCTGCTCCCGGCCGTGCTGAGGGCCCTGAAGGGGCGAGCTGCCCGCCGCTGCCTCGCGCAGGAGCTGCACCTCCACGTGCAGCAGAACCGTGCGGTCCTCGACCACCAGCAGTTTGACTTTGTCGTCCGCATGATGAACTGCTGCCTACAGGTGAGGCTGGGCCTGCCATCCCGCCAGCGGTGTGGCCCCTGAGTGGGGACAGGCAGGAGAGCCTGGTCTGCGGGTGAGTGAACACGGCTGAAGGGGATCTGTGTGTGTGGGGGATGGGGGTCCCCAGTGTGCACGGGCTGAAGGTAGGGGAGAGCCCTGTTGGGGGCACGGGGTGCGGGGTCTCCTGATCTTGAACCTCTCAGGCAACCCTGAGCAGCTGCAGCCAGTGGTCTGGGTTACGGTCTGTGGTGGCCAGGGGACAGGCAGGGTGTGGTTGGAGGTGGGCACTGCCCGGAGGTGGAGGAAGGTCCACAGGGCTTACCGCTCCGCCCGTAGGACTGCACCTCTCTGGATGAGCATGGCATCGCGGCTGCCCTGCTGCCCCTGGTCACAGCCTTCTGCCGGGTGAGTGCTCGGGGACCCGGGTCTCCTCCCCAGGCCCCTCCTGGCTATATCCAGCTGACCTCCCACCCGGCTTCTGCAGAAGCTGAGCCCGGGGGTGACGCAGTTTGCATACAGCTGCGTGCAGGAGCACGTGGTGTGGAGCACGCCGCAGTTCTGGGAGGCCATGTTCTATGGGGACGTGCAGACCCACATCCGAGCCCTCTATCTGGAGCCCGCTGAGGACCGAGCCCCCTCCCAGGTGTGCAGGGGCTCCCTGGGCCTGGGCCGGGGGTGGGAGCAGGTGTCCCTGGCTCATGTACCTGGTGCTGTGGCAGGAGGTTGGGGAGGCACCTTCCCAGGAGGACGAGCGCTCTGCCCTGGACGTGGCTTCTGAGCAGCGGCGTCTGTGGCCAACCATGAGCCGCGAGAAGCAGCAGGAGTTGGTGCAGAAGGAGGAGAGCACGGTGTTCAGCCAGGCCATCCACTATGCCAACCGCATGAGCTACCTCCTCCTGCCCCTGGACAGCAGCAAGAGCCGCCTGCTGCGGGAGCGTGCGGGGCTGGGCGACCTGGAGAGCGCCAGCAACAGTCTGGTCACCAACAGGTGGGGGGGGTGGGGGCGGGCGGGGCGGGTGTGGGGAATGGGGCCAGGGGGACGGGCCCGTGCCCACCGCCCCCTCCCTGGCCCAGCATGGCGGGCAGCGTGGCCGAGAGCTACGACACGGAGAGTGGCTTCGAGGATGCGGAGACGTGCGACGTGGCTGGGGCTGTGGTCCGCTTCATCAACCGCTTTGTGGACAAGGTCTGCACGGAGAGTGGGGTCACCAGCGACCACCTCAAGGGGCTGCATGTCATGGTGCCAGGTACGGGGTCTGGGCGTGGGTTCTCTCCCCTCGGACGGGTGGGTGGGCCAGGGCGTGAGAGCTGCTCTCCCCAGACATCGTCCAGATGCACATCGAGACCCTGGAGGCCGTGCACCGAGAGAGCAAGAGGCTGCCCCCCATCCAGAAGGTAGGCGGGGGCCCGGTGGGCTACAGGCGCCAGGGCCCTGGGCTGGGCCCTGAGCTGCCGTCCTGTGCCTGAGCAGCCCAAACTGCTGCGGCCACGCCTGCTGCCCGGTGAGGAGTGTGTGCTGGACGGCCTGCGCGTCTGTCTGCTGCCAGATGGGCGAGAGGAGGGCGCCGGGGGCAGTGGGGGGGGCCCTGCACTGCTCCCAGCCGAGGGCGCCGTCTTCCTCACCACGTACCGCGTCATCTTCACCGGGATGCCCACCGACCCCCTGGGTGAGCCTTCAGACCCTCACCCTGGCCCACTGTCCCCTTCCTGCCAGGCCTTTGGGGTGGTGGAGTTCCCTGCATGCCCCCCCTTTCTTAGGGGTGCAGGGCCCCTGTGGAGATGGGCCCTAGTCCACTCCTCCCCACCCATCTAGAGCCCCCACACCTCTGGTCCCCTCCCACCCTCTGACTCTGTGCGCACCTGCTGTCAGTGGGGGAGCAGGTGGTGGTCCGCTCCTTCCCGGTGGCTGCGCTGACCAAGGAGAAGCGCATCAGTGTGCAGACGCCCGTGGACCAGCTCCTGCAGGACGGGCTGCAGCTGCGCTCCTGCACGTTCCAGGTGGGTGGGCTCGCGTCTGCCCATGGCCCTGGGGTGGCTTGTTAGTTTGGGGCCCTCGCCTTGGCTCTCAACTTGCCGTCAACTGCCCGTTTGATGTGCCGGCCTTTGAGTCCCTGTCATTTTCTTGGGCACTGACCCTCGAGTCAGTGTCTTGGGTCTGCGGTGCGAGCCCAGACATCGCCATATAGCTGCTGAAACTTACAGTTCACGCAGACACTTGACTTCGAGTGTGGGGCCGTGGGGCCTGCCTCTGCTGTGGCTGAACGGAGAAGCGCCCAGGTACCCGGCAGTGTCACAGCTAGGGAGTGGCCTCGGGGGCCACCCAGACCCCTGACGGCTTCTGTTTCTGACACAGCTGCTGAAAATGGCCTTTGATGAGGAGGTGGGGTCCGACAGCGCCGAGCTCTTCCGTAAGCAGCTGCACAAGCTGCGGTACCCGCCGGACATCAGGGGCACCTTCGCGTTCACTCTGGGCTCTGCCCACCCACCCGGCCGGCCACCCCGGACCACCAAGGATAAGGGTCCCTCTCTCAGGTGTGGATCTGGGTCCCAGGGACAGGGCAGCCGGGCCCCGCTGTGCTCCCACCCCGTGACCACGTCCTCTCGTCTCCCATCCCCTTGGCTGACCCTGCAGAACCCTGTCGCGGAACCTGGTGAAGAATGCCAAGAAGACCATCGGGCGGCAGTACGTCACCCGCAAGAAGTACAACCCCCCCAGCTGGGAGCACCGGGGCCAGCCGCCCCCTGAGGACCAGGAGGACGAGATCTCAGGTTGGGGGCAGAGGGGAAGTGCTGGGTGGCCTCTGGGTGGGTCCCTTGTGGAGGACAGGACGTGGCAGGGCGGCCTCTGGGTTGTGATCCTGTGTGCTTGTCCTGCGCAGTGTCGGAGGAGCTGGAACCCAGCACGCTGACCCCGTCCTCAGCCCTGAAGCCCTCGGACCGCATGACCATGAGCAGCCTGGTGGAGAGGGCTTGTTGCCGTGACTACCAGCGCCTCGGCCTGGGCACCCTGAGCAGCAGCTTGAGCCGGGCCAAGTCCGAGCCCTTCCGTGTGTCCCCCGTCAACCGCATGTATGCCATCTGCCGCAGGTGAGGCCAGCCAGGACACGCCCGGGAGGGCACGGGCAGGGCTGCCCATTTGACATGCCAGTGCTCGGGTCTTCGTCATTTCTGTGGGGCACTGACCCTCGAGTCAGGGGGCCCCGCGTGGAGAGGGGGCAGGCGCTTGGGCACCTTCCCTGCCTGCTGTGGCCCTGTCACAGTTCCTGGTCAGGTGTGGCCGGGTGAGGCTGCAGGGCGTGGCAGGCACCTGGCTGAGCACAGCTGCGCGGGCTCATGGCCGAGGGCCGGAGAGGGCCTTGCCTGAGTGTTGGGGGCCGCGAGCCTGCTCCCCTGCTCCCCACGGCTTGGCTGCTCCCCCTTCCAGGGGTGTGCACCGGGGCAGGGGGGCTTCTCAGCTGCCCTCATGCCACCGCCTCCCTGCAGCTACCCAGGGCTGCTGATCGTGCCTCAGAGCGTCCAGGACAACGCCCTGCAGCGCGTGTCTCGCTGCTACCGCCAGAACCGTTTCCCCGTGGTCTGCTGGCGCAGTGGGCGTTCCAAGGCTGTGCTGCTGCGCTCTGGCGGCCTGCACGGCAAGGGTGTTGTTGGCCTTTTCAAGACCCAGAACGCGCCTTCTCCAGGTACCTTCCCTGCGCCCTGCCCTGGGTCTGCCCCGCGCCGCCCCGCCCCACGCCGCCCCAGCTCTGCTTCCTCTCCCAGGCCAGTCCCAGGCAGACTCGAGCAGCCTGGAGCAGGAGAAGTACCTACAGGCCGTGGTCAGCTCCATGCCCCGCTACGCCGACACGTCAGGACGCAACACGCTCAGCGGCTTCTCCTCGGCCCACATGGGCAGTCACGGTGAGTGCAGCCGGTGGGGCGGGGAGGGCTCTCGTGGGCCGTGGTGGCGTGTGTGGTGGGCAGGGCAGAAGCGGCCTCGGCCAGGGATGTGTGGGTGTGAGACACCTGTGCAGACCAGCTGGGTGTCCCGAGGCGCTGCCTGCCCTGACCACCCGCCTCTGCACGTCCCCAATGGTGACCTCCTGCCAGAGGCTCCGAGTGGCCACTTCCATAGCCGAGCCTGACCGCTTCCTGCAGCCTCGTGACATCCCCGATCTTTGCCGCAGCTCCTCTCCCAGTTCCGCCCACCCTGCGTCCTCATCTGTCCTGGCTCCCTGGGCCTTGTCTGTGCCGGTCTCACTGTCCCCGTCCCCAGTGCCTGTGCCCTTCCACGGTGCCCTGCGCGCTGAGGCAGGTCCAGGCTGGCTGCCAGCACCTGTGCAGGCCGTGCTTCCCTCTGACCCTGTGTTGCCGCAGTCACGTGAAATGCATCCCACCCTGCAAGGGGGGCCGTTGTCCCGTTCCGCAGAGGAGGCATCGGGCCGGGGAGGGTGGAGAGTGTCTGCGGAGCCCTCACCCTGGACGCCTGGCACTGGTGCCAGGCAGGGCTGTGTCTTCGTGCATTGGCCCCAGGCGGAGAGCTGTGGTGCTGAGGGTCCTCTGTGCACCCACTGTCCACGCGGGGTGGACAGCCGTGTCCAGTGAGGGAGGGAGGGGAATTGTGGGAGCTGAGCACTGGGAGGTGAGATCCGGCAGGGCCCGAAGGCCAGTGGAGGGGACGTGTTACAAGGGCACCCGCTGGAGTCTCCTGTAGGCAGCTGTTGTGTCCCTCCTCCCCCTACCTAACTCCGTCTGACCCTCTGACCTCTCCCTCCGCCCCAACCTCGTCTGACCCTGATTCTGTCCGCCCCAGCCTCCCTGTGGCCTTTCTCCCCACAGCCCCCCATGATCTGGCCCTGGCCCGGGGGTGCTGGGGCTCCTTGAAGGTTGTCCTTGGACTCGGCTCCAGCTACCGTGCAACACACAGGCCCAGCGTGTCCCCATGTGGGTCCTCTGCATGGACGTCTCATCCTAGCACCGGGCGTGAGACCCGGGAAGCTCCTGCACCGCAGCCTGCCAAGCCCACCCCACTGTGCCCAGCCTGTCCCCTCTGCGGCTGCAGCGACGGTGCCCTCAGGGCTGTGGGGGGTGTGAGCTGTTGACGCTCAAACCAGGAGTCACCCGAGGCCTCCCGACCCCTTAGTCCCTCCCCTTGAGCTTGTGGGCCTAGCTCCTAGGAGGGCAGCAAGGGGCACTGGAGGGTTTTAGGGGCTGATAGCACCACCCTCCGGCACAGCCGGCCCTAGATCTGTCTGCTGTGCCCCCGGCTCCCAGGACAAGCCACGCAGGTCTGCAGTCCTGGCCAGCGGCCACCCCCTCCCACAGCTCCTCTCCCTGCTGGGGCTCCCTGCTGAGCACAGCACACGTGGCCTCCCTACCTGGTGAACGCCCGACAGCGTTCCTCAGGGCTCTGTCCTACAAGACGCGCGCAGGGGCCGAGGGGGCCTGGAGCAGGGCTGCGAGTCTGCCCTCGTGGTCACTGAGGGGGACGCCATCCTCGGAGAGGCCACACTTGACCCACGCTCACTCCTGTCAGGAATACTTGTTCTTTAGTTCAAAAGTGGTTTTTTTGATTTTCCACATAGCAAGTTACGTGATCGTGTTTCACAGTTACCTCGTCTTGGTGCCTGCAGGTGGGGCCCTCCCCCTGCTCAGGCCTGCCGGCCCCAGGGCCTGTGTCTCCCTCACGCCCGTCTCCAGCCCTGGCTGGGGCCACCCGACTGCCCAGCAGGGCACAGGGTCTCGGCTCCCCCGCTGTGCTCTTGGAGGAGAGAGAGCTCAGGGACCCTGGCCGGGCTCTGCCCTCTTGTCAGGACCGGGCCCTGCCAGCGTCCTGCTGTCTCGCTGAGCTGGGTGCTCGGTGCGGCAGCTGTCAGAGGACCTGGCTGTGGGGCACAGGCTGGCCTTGTGCTTGTCCCGTGGTGGCCGCTTGCTGGACGGGGAGTGATGCCCCACATCGCTCTGTGTCCTGTCCTTGGGAGAGGCAGGTGAGCAGGGCACAGCCATGCACCCAGAGACCCACAGCGTGACCCCAGGCAGCCCAGCCTCCGGGCTGCCACCTCCTGGCAGGGCCTCCCTGCCTCAGGTCAGGCATCACCCAGGCCTCGTGAGTCTCAGCCCAGCACGGCCCAGGGCCCAGGCCTGCTTGTGCCCTGAACCAAGCCGCTCTCCATCCTGTGCTGGCACTTCCAGGCTCTGAGCCCTCTCTCCTCTTCCAGATGCCTCCAGGCCACCTCTGCTCCAGGCCTCGCCTCGCAGGCCCTCGCTGTTGCTATGTGCGCTGGGTGGAGGCTGCTGCGTGGCCATGTGTCGAGAGCAGTTCTGGGCAGTGCCTGTCAGACCAGCCCTGGCCCTGAGCTAGGGAGGAGAGTCCGGGAGGGTGGCTGCTCGGCACAGGGCAGGTGTGGGAAGGTACTCGGAGACAGAGTTGTTCTCGGTCAGCCGAGTGGGAAGAGAAGAGCCGGTCGAGAGCCTGGGACTTGGGCCCCTCCCACCGTGGAGCTCTGCTTTACCTGTCCCCTGTACCAGGATGACAGCACTTCCCACTCTGAGACCAGGGACTTGGCAGTGACTCCTGCTACCTCCAGGGCTCCTGGGGGGCTTCATGGGAACCTTTGGGCTGTAGGCACCCCAAGCTGGGCACTCCCAGGCCTGAGCCACCTCTCTGCTGTGCCCCCAGCGCCCAGCCCCAGAGCCAGGGTCACCACGCTGTCCAACCCCATGGCGGCCTCGGCCTCCCGACGGACAGCGCCCCGAGGTACCGTACTGGGCCTGCGCAGGCCGGTCCCCCATACCTGGCACTGACGGCCCCCAGCGTGCACTGAGTCATTGTGGGCACTAATGTCCCCCTCCACACCTGACGCTAACGGCCCTGCCCCCAGCCCCGGTACTCACCTGCCTGCCACTGAGTCCTGCCCTAGACACTAACACCGGGCACACCTAGTGTCTCCGCATCTGTGTGTTGCAGCCCTCCTCCCTCGCACAGCCCTGCAGGGGTCCTGTCGGCCACCCCTGCCCTGCCCTGGGAGCCCAGCTCCCTCCCTGGAGGCCGGGCCCAGCCAGCCCCAGGTAAGTGGTGCCCTGGCCCTGCTTGGGTGCTCACCTGGTGTCTCCTCTGCAGGTAAGTGGGGCAGTGTCCGGGCCAGCGGGCGCACCAGTGGGCTCGGCACCGATGTGGGCTCCCGGCTGGCTGGCAGAGACCTGCTGGGCCCCCCCCAGGCCAACGGGGCTCCCTCGGATCCAGGCTTTTTGCGACCCCAGCGTGCAGCCCTCTACATCATTGGGGACAAAGCCCAGCTCAAGGTGACAGGTCGGGGCATGGGGCCAGGCAGGGGGCACAGGGCCTGGGCACGTCTGCCTCACGGTGCTTGGCCGGCCTCTTCCCAGGGTGTGCGGCCAGACCCCTTGCAGCAGTGGGAGCTGGTGCCCATTGAGGTGTTTGAGGCGCGGCAGGTAAAGGCCAGCTTCAAGAAGCTGCTGAAGGCTTGTGTCCCAGGCTGTGCCGCCGCTGAGCCCGGCCCGCCGTCCTTCCTGCGCTCACTGGAGGACTCCGAGTGGCTGACCCAGGTCTCTGCACCGTCCCTGCCCCTCGCCCCCTTGGTGCTGGGCCCACCACCTGGCTGGAACTGCGTGGCCAGGGTTGAGTGGGCTTGCCTGACAGTGTTGAACACCAGGAGGTGACAGCCACTTCCACCCAGCGTCATGGTGCCGGAAGGCAGCTTGGGCAGCCAGGCTTGGCAGGAGGCTGGCAGTGAGAGTGGCCAGGTCCCGGGTTTGGGTGTCTCAGGCAACCTGCAGGGCCTGGGTGGGCTGGGGACCCACATAGGACCTGGCCTGTGGGTCAGGTCCCACTGCTGTGCTCTCCTTTGGGAGGGGCTGGGCACTGACTCCCTGGCTTGCTGAGAGCTGGAGGGGTCGGAGAGGGCCGCTGGGCATCTCCATGGTTCCTCTGCAGTCCTGGAGGAAGTGCTGAGCTTGCCCAGGGCAGCCTGTCTGTCTGGTGCTGTGCCCGTCCGGCCGGGCTGCAGACACTGCCAGCCTCTCTCGCGTGCTGTGGACACGTGAGTCTCTGGCCTGGTCAGCGATGGGGTCAGAGGGCAGCGGGTCTCAGGTGGTGAGACGGCTGCCTCTCCCTGCAGATCCACAAGCTGCTGCAGGTGTCGGTACTGGTGGTGGAGCTCCTGGACTCGGGCTCCTCCGTCCTGGTGAGCCTGGAGGACGGCTGGGACATCACCACCCAGGTATGTGGCGGGCGGAGCCAAGGGCGGACGAGGGTCCCCGGGACTCCTTCCTGACCCGCTGGCGCTGTCGGCAGGTGGTGTCCTTGGTGCAGCTGCTCTCAGACCCCTTCTACCGCACGCTGGAGGGCTTCCGCCTGCTGGTGGAGAAGGAGTGGCTGTCCTTCGGCCATCGCTTCAGCCACCGCGGGGCCCACACCCCGGCTGGGCAGAGCAGCGGCTTCACGCCTGTCTTCCTGCAGTTCCTGGACTGTGTACACCAGGTGGGTAGGCGGCTGTGTGTGGGGCTGGGGCTGTGTGGTGACTCCTGACGGCTGACCCACGTGGCGCACAGGTCCACCTGCAGTTCCCCATGGAGTTTGAGTTCAGCCAGTTCTACCTCAAGTTCCTTGGCTACCACCACGTGTCCCGCCGTTTCCGGACCTTCCTGCTCGACTCTGACTATGAGCGCATCGAGCTGGGTATGTGGGGAGTGGGGCCTGGGGCAGCTGCGTGGCCAGGAGGGGCCCAGGCTCAGAGCTGCCCCTGTGCAGGGCTGCTGTACGAGGAGAAGGGGGAGCGCAGGGGCCAGCTGGCGTGCAGGTCTGTGTGGGAGTATGTGGACCGGCTCAGCAAGAGGACACCCGTGTTCTACAACTACATGTATGCGCCTGAGGACACAGAGGTGAGCTGGGGCCTGGTCGGGGCCGGTGGCTCCTGCCTGGCCCAGGTCCTCAACACCAGGCCCACCCCCAGGTCCTGCGGCCCTACAGCAACGTGTCCAACTTGAAGGTGTGGGACTTTTACACTGAGGAGACGCTGGCTGAGGGGCCCCCTTACGACTGGGAACTGGCCCAGGGGCCCCCCGAACCCCCAGAGGAGGAACGGCCTGATGGAGGCGCTCCCCAGAGCAGGCGCCGTGTGGTGTGGCCCTGTTACGACAGCTGTCCCCGAGCCCAGCCTGACGCCATCTCACGCCTGCTGGAGGTGTGTGCGGTCCCAGAACAGGGCCTGGCCTAGCACCCTCTTCTTGCTAGACACTGGGAGTGTGCATGTGTGTGTGTGTGCGTGTGTGTGTGTGCATGTGTGTGCACATGTAGCTGCGTGTGCATGTGTAGGTGCGTGTGCATGCGTGTCAGTCCAGTTACCCCTGGGTGTTGGGGTGGCCCTGCCTTCCCCTACCATGTGACCTGCCTGCTGGCCTGGGGTAGCCGTGGCTGCCCTGTGGCCCCACCCACCTTGGGTGGGTGTTTGCAGATGGTGGCCAGAGGGCTGTTGTCAGAGACTCCAGATCTCGGGACTCAGCCTCTGGTCTGGGCATGTGGTCTTCCCCTGAGCTGCCTTTGAGAACTCAGGCAGCACTGTGGGGTCAGCCCTCGGGGTCAGTGTTTTCCCAGCAACCATTTTCCCCCTGCCAGACTGCCTGCCCCACCCACCCCAACATGAGCACAGCAGCTCTTCTAGGTTCTTTTTTTTTTAACAGTTAAAACGTATTTAATAGAAATATTAATCATCTTGAAGCATCTTGCCTGAAAAAAAAGAAAAAGAAGAAATATTAAAGTAACATTACATCTTCTTTCATTGCTGAAACCATGAAATATGCCTTTTGTGATGAAAGTAATAATTTTTTGTCATGAAAAACATAAATATATGTTTTTTGAGACAGAATCTCGCTCTGTCACCTGGGTAGAGTGCTGTGGCGTCAGCCTAGCTCACGGCAACCTCAAACTCCTGGGCTCAAGCGATCCTCCTGCCTCAGCCTCCCGAGTAGCAGGACTACAGGCATGCGCCACCATGTCCAGCAAATTTTTCTATTTTTTGTAGAGAAGGGGTCTCGCTCTTGCTCAGGCTGGTCTCGAACTCCGATCCTCCCGCCTTGGCCTCCCAGAGTGCTGGGATTATAGACATGAGCCACGGCTGAAAAAGATATTTTTGTTATTACATTCATAAGTGGAAACTATATTTCAGAACAAGTTTATATAGATTCAAAAAGGCCTACACTTAAAGTGAAATTTATTTAAATACCATTATAGTTACATTGTATGCTTCTGGCATACCCTTATTCACAGTTTATAAAGTAAAAAATCTAACTCTTAAAGTCAGCTCTGAAATAGATGCATTTTCTTTAATACATTGACTAGTTATGTCTGTTCTTCTAAGACAGGAGGAGAGAGATACTGAAATTTTTTTTTTTTTTTTGAGACAGAGTCTCACTGTGTTGCCTGGGCTAGAGTGCCATGGCGTCAGCCTAGCTCACAGCAACCTCAAACTCCTGGGCTCAAGCGATCCTCCTGCCTCAGCCTCCCGAGTAGCTGGGACTACAGGCATGCGCCACTATGCCCGGCTAATTTTTTCTATGTATTTTTAGTTGTCCGATTAATTTCTTTCTAATTTTAGTAGAGACGGGGTCTTGCTCTTGCTCAGGCTGGTTTCGAACCCCTGAGCTCAAACAATCCGGCCACCTTGGCCTCCCAGAGAGCTAGGATTACAGGCGTAAGCCACCGCGCCCGGCCTGAAATATTTTTTAAAGAACAAACGCAGCATGTCAGCAGCAAATTTCAGTGAAACTAAATGGGAAACCAAAGTTCTACATAACCAGAGCACAAAGTTCTCTCTTCTAGGTTCTTGACCCAAAAGCTTGGGATTGACATTGAGACCTCTCTGGCCCCTCACGCTGCCATCCTTGTGGGCATGTCTGCTTGTCCTGAGCAATCAGGACAGAGACACCTGGGGGGTGCCAGTTGGGGTCGTTGGTGTGGGGCTGGGGTGCTGCCTCGGGGAGCAGTCAGAAGGGTGTGGGCCTCAGATCCAGACCATGGGAGGATCCGCATTCCACTCCCCACCAATGGCTTTGTGGCCTCCGAAATGGCCTGAGGGTCTTAGAGCTTCTGTTTCCTTGTACAGAAAGTGGGAGCCCCAATTCTCGCCTTGTGAGGCATAAAGTGAGTGACATATTTCCTTGCCCCTGCGTGGGGCCTGGCCCAAAGGCCCCTGTCGCCCTGGGGCTTGGGAAGCATGGAAGCATGGGTCATGGTTTTGTGGATGAAGGTAACCCACAGAGAAAAGAGTCCCTTTTTATGTCTGGTAATACTTGTTGGCTTGAAGGTGGCTTGGTCTGTTGCTAACAGCACTCAGCTTTCTTAGGACTAGCATCAGCTTGGTCTTTTGTTTTTTGTACTTTTCTTTTTGACTGGTCTGTTTCTATATTTCAGGTGAGCTTCTTGTACACAGTTGGGTCTTTTTTTTATCCAGCCTGATGATTTCTTTTATTGAAATTTTTAGTCAATTTTTTTTTAGTCAATTTTTATTCACTGTAATTATTGAGGTGGTTTGGTTAAGTTTAGCCTGTTTTTTGTTTGTCCTACTTTTGCTCCTTTCTTTTAAGAAGAAATAATTGAGTATTTTTTAGTATTTTGTTTTATGTACTTTATTTGACTTTTGAGCTATACCTCTATGTTATTCTTTTAGTGGTTGCCAGGGACTGCAGTCATCTTTTTTTTTTTTTTTTTTTGAGACAGAGTCTCGCTTTGTTGCCCTGGCTAGAGTGAGTGCCATGGTGTCAGCCTAGCTCACAGCAACCTCAAACTCCTGGGCGCAAGCGATCCTTCTGCCTCAGCCTCCCGAGTAGCTGGGACTACAGGCATGCGCCACTATGCCCGGCTAATTTATCTATATATTTTTAGTTGTCCAATTAATTTCTTTCTATTTTTAGTAGAGACGGGGTCTCGCTCTTGCTCAGGCTGGTTTCGAACTCCTGAGCTCAAACAATCCGCCCACCTCGCCTCCCAGAGAGCTAGGATTACAGGCGTCAGCCACCGCGCCCGGCCTGCAGTCATCATTATCTTGAAATTACATCCCCCGCTCACACACACGGGAGCCTCACGGCAGAGTCCGTGTAGCCCTTTCCCGTCTCTGTGCTGCTGCTGGCTCACATCTTACTTCTCCGTGTAGCATAAACACCCAGCATGGGTCATTTTTGTTTTAAATAGTCAGCTTTGTTTTAAAGAAATTGAGAAAAAAGGAAAAAGCCTTCTATTTTTGCCATTTTCAGTATTATTCAGTCTTTCGGTGTAGATCTGGTCTGGTACCATTTCCCTTCAGCCTGAAGGACTTTTAGTATTTCTTGTAATGCAGATCTGCCAGTCACAAAAGCCCTCAGCTTTGCTTATCCAAAAATGTCTTCATTGTGTCTTTATTTTTTAAAGGGCAGTTTTCTCTGGATACAGAATTCTAGGTTGACAGCTTTTTTACATGCAGCAGTTTAAAGATTCTCTTACTTTGTTTTCTGCTTGATTGATTAGAAGTCAGTGTTCATTCTCATCCTTTTAAACTGTGTATAATGTCACCATTTTTTCTTGTACCTTTAAGATTTTTTCTTCATCTTTAGTTTCAGCAATTTGACCATGAAGTCGTTTTTCTTTGTGTTCATCCTGCTTAAGGTTTCTTAAACTTCTTAGATCTGTGAGATGATCATTTTTATTACATTTAACATTAGGTTATTAAGTATGAAATGTCCGATTTCCTTAAGCACTAAGTTTGTTGCTACCTCTCACATTTCGACACTTCTTGTTTTATGTTTATTGTGAAGATACATCCTCAGTCTTTCAAATGTGTGTTTCAGCTTGCGATTGTCTTTCAAATTTTTCCTTAGAGCAATTTTTGTGAAACCATGGAAAAGTCAAAAATACATGTAATTTTCGAGTATGAGTTACATCGTGGATAATTGGAGCACAGACAGCTTGAAATATCAACGAAGTGTCTGGGAAGGATGTGGCTAATGAACACACAGTATGTGGATGGTTTCAGAAGTTCCATTCTGGTGATTTTAATCTTGAAAATGAGCCACGTGGGCGACCTGAGACCAAGCTGTGTAACGATCAGCTGAAAGCTGTAGTGGAAGTGAATCCATCTGAACTTACGCGTGAACTAGCAGCAAGGTTTGATGTTACTATTCCAACGAGTTAGACCATTTGAAACAAATGGGCAAGGTAAAGAAGCTGGACCGATGGTTCCACGTGAAACAAGTGTCAGAAGAGAAATCGTCTCGAAGCTTGCCTTTCTTTGCTGTCACAGCACAAAGGTGAACCATTTCTACACCGTGTTGTGATGTGTGATGAAAAATGGATTCTTTTTGACAATCAAGAGCGTTCGGCACAGCAGTTGGATGAAGATGAAGTGCCGAAACACAGTCCAAAACAGAGTGTTCATCAAAAAAAGCTACTGGTATCTGGTGGTCCAGCGCTGGTATAATCCACTACAGCTACATGAAACCTGGTCAGTTGATCACAACGGATGTCTGCTAGAACCCACTGGAAGAAATGATGAGGACGACTGCAATTAAGCGGCCGAGATTGGTCAATAGAAGACAGGCCAATCCTCTTGCAAGACAACACTCAACCACACGTCGCACAAACAACGCTGCTCAAACTACTGAGGCTGCACTTGGAAACTCTCTGTCATCCACCGTATTCGCCAGACCTGCACCGACTGACTACCCCTTCTTCCAGGCTTCGGACCACTTCTTAGAAGGAAAAATATTAAATTCTCTACCAGCTGTGGAAAATGCCTTTCCTGATTTCATCACCACTCGTTCTCCAGGCTTCTTCACTGCTGAGATAAGCTACCATTAAGTGTTGATAGTTTAGGTGCATTGTACTGCTTCTTGTGTTTGAGATAGAATAAACTAAGCTTTTGATTCGAAATCGGACATTTCATATTTAATGACCCAATACTTTTAGGCCATTGCTGTTTTAAATTTCTTTTTCTGCATAATCTTTCCCTGCTTTCGTTCTGGAATCTGTTGTCCCATAGGTTACTGAGGCTCTGTTTGTTCTTATTCCTCAATCTTTTTTCTCTTTGCACTTTATTGTAGATGATTTCTGTTGTCCTGTCTTCAAGATCACTACTCTTGTGTTTAATATACTTAAGCCTATCTAATGAATTTATTTTAGATGCTGTATTTTTCAGCTCTAAAACTTCTGTTTTTTAATAGTTTGTATTCTCTGTAGAGATTCTCTCTCTATTCAACCGTTATGTCTCTTTCCCATTAAATCTTGAAGCATATTTATAATAACTTATGAATTTCTTGTGTATTCTGAAACCTTTTTGATTTCTGTTTCTTTTTTCTCCTATTTTTCTGCCTTTTTGCTTTTCTAGTCTTTTATTTTAAGCTGGACATTATGGATCCTGCCTTGTCAAGGATCAGGACTGTGTTACCTTCCTTTAAAGAATCTTAGGTTTTATTCTTACAGATAGTTAATGAACTTGTGGGTCAGCTTGTTTTTAAGCATTGTTAGGGCTCTATGGCACCTCTAGAGAAGCTCCGGGGTTACAGTAGCCCTACTCCTAAGGCTTGACCCCTCCAGGGTTTTAATTGAGGTTTTTGTGTCTTTAGTGAGGTCTTGCCACTCTGGCCGTTTGGAATTCCTACATCTTCCAGCATCGTATAAGCCCTATAATTTAGATTCAGTTCACAGCTTTTTAATACCTTTTCTCTGCCAGGACTTGTGGCATTTTGCTTTGCACATGGCAGCTTAATTTGGCCAAAGACTCAAGGAGGCCTCTGTAGATTTCCAAAGCTCCTTCTCTGATCTCCCCCGACCCACGTAGGCTGCCCTGCGGACCCACCTGCACTAGCATCCCCACAGTTCCCGTCCCTGCATCCTCAGCTCAGCAAGACCAGTGTGCCATTTCGGCCCCACCTCCTTGCACTCTGGCCAGGCAGAAAGTGGGCAACCAGGGATCTCCTTGTGGGGCTCTGTGTCTTGTTCTCAGTGCCGCAAGACTGCTTGTCCAGCGTCTGAAAAGAGCTGCTCCCTGTCCTGTCCGGCTTTACGGTTGCGTGTGGACGAGGGTAGGCAGAGATTGACTCTGTCGTGGCTGGAAGTGGAAGTCGGCCCCGTGTTCTGTTTTGAAGTCAGCCATCAGTTTTATTGCTGCTCTTTCAAAGAGAACATGTTTTTTTCCTTCCACCTGGTTTTGGGATTGTTTGTTTTGTTTCTCAGCAATTTTTCTGTACCATTTTGGGGTGTTTGTATTTAACGTATCCTATTTGGAGTGTATAGTGCTTCTTGATTATGTTGTTTGATGCCTCTGGTTGGTTTGGGAAATTTTTAAACCATTTTCTCCAAATACTCATTTTGCCCATTTCCTCTCTCCCTCTTGCCACCTTCTGTACTCAGTTACACTGCATCTCTGTCCTCTGTGTCTTTCTTTTTGTTACCATTTTGTCTTTTCACGCTCCAGTATGGATGTTTTCTCCTGAATAACCTTTTATTAATAGTTCGTAATTCTCCCCCAGGAGCTGCAGCGGCTGGAGACAGAGCTGGGCCGACCCCCTGAGCGCTGGAAGGACACTTGGGACCGGGTGAAGGCCGCACAGCGCCTCGAATTCCGGCCAGATGGACATGTGAGCGGGGGTCGGGGTGGGGGGGGTCACCAGGGGAAAGGAATCTGCCCACCCTAACGCAGGCCCCACTCTCCTGCCCCCAGGGCACCCCCGGCTCTCTACTAATGTCCAGTGTGCCCCACCACCGCCGCTCGCTGGGTGTCTACCTGCAGGAGGGGCCTGTGGGCTCCACCCTGAGCCTCAGCCTGGACAGCGACCAGAGCAGCGGCTCGACTGCATCCAGCTCCCGCCAGGCTGCCCGCCGCAGCACCAGCACCCTGTACAGCCAGTTCCAGACAGCCGAGAGTGAGAACAGGTAAGAGGGCACCTCTGAGCAGTCTGGGGTTCTGGGTAGTTCTCAGTGGGGGCTGCAGGTGCCTTTAGGGAGCTCTAGTCATTTCTTAGGGTGGGAGGATTTGTGGGCTGCACTGGTCCCCAAGCATAAGCCAATGTTGGAAGGAGTTTGGAGCTTGGAACCAGGGACCACAGCCAGGCTGCAGGAGGGGCTGGGGGACACCTGCATCCCACCCCGAGGATGGAGGAGCCATGTTGCCGAGGCTGCCTCCCTAGGCCTGCCTGCCGAGTGCTTTCTTCCTGGCTATACCTGCCTTGTGTGCGGGGCTGCTTTCCCAAGACCCCAAGGCTCTGGTGTTGTGGGACCTCCCCGGTGTCTGGAGGGGTGTGGTGGACCCTTCGCCTCTCCTTTCAGGGGATAATCCTCTTCCTGGGTCTCTTGCCCCAGGGCTTCTTTGTGGCCCCCTGGCCAGTGCTCTGGGGCGTAGCCTGGCCTGGGACAGCAGGTGGGGCAGCTGCTGGGGCCTGGGCTTGGCTGTGCTGTGATGGCCAGTCTGGCCCCGCTTCTGCAACACAGGTCCTACGAGGGCACCTTGTACAAGAAGGGAGCCTTCATGAAGCCGTGGAAGGCCCGCTGGTTCGTGCTGGACAAGACCAAGCACCAGGTGAGTGAGTGGTGGGGGGAGGAGGGACTGGGGAGGGGCTGCCCTGACTCTGTGGCCCTTCCAGCTGCGCTACTACGACCACCGTGTGGACACAGAGTGCAAGGGCGTCATCGACCTGGCGGAGGTGGAGGCCGTGGCACCAGGCACACCCACCATGGGCGCCCCCAAGACTGTGGATGAGAAGGCCTTCTTTGACGTGAGCCTCGGCCAGGCCCGCGAGTTGGGAGGGAGGGTCTCTGCGTGGGGCCGTGGAGTCACTGACCCACCCGTTCCCAGGTGAAGACAACGCGTCGCGTTTACAACTTCTGTGCCCAGGACGTGCCCTCAGCCCAGCAGTGGGTGGACCGGATTCAGAGCTGCCTGTCGGACGCCTGAGCTCCCCGGCCCCACCCGGGCTGCTCTGCTTCCAGTCGTTACAGACCACTAGGGGTGGGCAGGGCCGCCCCGGCCATGTTTACAGCCCCGGCCCTCGACAGTATTGAGGCCCCGATCCCCAGCACTTGTGTGTACAGCCCCGTCCCCGCCCCGCCCCGCCCGGCCAGCTCTAACTTATTTTGGCGTCATGGCTGAGCGCCGTGCCGGGAGGTGGCCATGGTACAGCCCCAAGATGGGCCTGTAAATAGTCCAGCCCCATCAGCGTGCTGGCCCCGGCCGGCCGGCCGCAGGTGAATTGTTTCTAGAACCAGAGTCTATATAAAGAACGAACTAACGCCGTGCTCACGTGCCTGCCTTACCCACGCCTGCTGTCAGCCGAGGGCCAGCATGTCCTTGGCCTACCCAGCAAGTCCCCCTGGCCCACACCAGGCCCACTGTGTTGGGGAGGTTGGCGTCTTTCTTGCTGGCCTTCCCTGGTGGCTGCCCCCATCTCTGAGTTTCCGTGGCCCTGGCCGTGGCTTTGCTCTGGGAGGCTCCATCGGGCCCTCAGGTGGTGCCTGGCATGGCTGGGGGCAGGGCAGGCTCCGGGGCTGTGTGGGGAAGGCAGGATGGTCATTTGCCCAGCCCCCAGGCAGCTGTTCCAGCTTCAGGGAGACGGGCTGGTCCCTGGTCAGACCCGTGGGATGGTGTCAGAGGGATCACACCACAGGACCTTACCCCTGCGGTTCTTGGGAATTTTGCTGCAGACGGCTACCCCTTGTCCCTGGGGTGTCCTCTCAGCGGCCCTCGATGGCCTGCGTCCCTTGTCTATTGTTGGGCTTGTCACTCGCTGCTCCTTTCCTGTTGGAGTCAGTCCAGCAGGGCACCTGCCTGGCTGCTGTGTCCTTGCCTGTGACAGGTGCTGGCCAGGGTGGGGCTGGCAATAGCAGGTGGAGCGAGGGCTAGGGGTGTTGTAAAGGCTGAGACAAGGCCCCCAAAGTGTCCAGGGGTGGCCACTGGTGACCTGGCTCAGGTGGGAGGTGAGCCACAGGTGTAGAAGAGGGGAAGGTTCCAGTAATGATGGGCAGAGCCAGGCCCAGGTGTTGGCTGGAGCGGTGGGGTGAGGGGGGCTGTGTGGGCTGGGACACCTTCGGGGAGGCAAGAGTGGCCTCAGTAGGCTGTTGAGACTGCCCGGGGCGCCCCTGGACCAGACAGGTAGACCTGCCAAGGTCTCCTGCATCCAGGAAACCCATGGGTCCGAGTAAGGGGAGAAAGGACCCTGCCCTTCCAATTTCACATCTGCGGGGTGGGGTGTGGTGGGAGGTGGGAGCTGGGAGCAGCTGATGGCAACTGGCCGCCCCGGACGCACCCCAGGCCCAGGGCAGCGCAGGGCTTACCGAGGAGACGAGGGTCAAGTGCTGGAGGGAGCTGGGCCTCTGGGTCCCCCTCTGGCTGAGTCACTTCTCAGACAAACCCTCCCTGGGGGTCTGGTCTCTCCGGGCCCCTCCTGCTTAGCCAGTGAGGACAAGGGAGGGTGGGCACACCGACGGGGTTCTCAGGTACAGCACTCTCAGGCCCACCTGCCCGCGGACTAATGTGTTTGATTCAGGAGTTTCAGGCAGAGCTTTTTTTTCCTGAACAGAAAAAGCTCAGTATCTGCTTAGATTTAAAGACCTGCTGCTGTGACGTGGCCTGTTCCACCCCTGCCTGTTACAGGGGGATGGGCCTGGGGAACAGCAGTACAGGTGCTGGAGGATACGGCCCAGCCCTGGAGAGGTTGGGGCTCCCAGGCCTACAGCTGAACAGTACACAGGCTGCTAGTAAGGAGGACACAGCTTTTATTGGGAATCAGGGGTTCTGGGCGCCCTGGCAGATGATCAGAACGTTAAAAATAGACTCGGTGTAAAATGATCTTTTGGACCCTTCCAGGACAGCACAGCTCTGCCTGGTGCCAAGCCCCTCAGCACCCTGCCGTGCCCCCCACCCAAACGACAGTGGGCAGCTCCCACCAGGCACCCCAACCTCCTACTCCAGAGTGCTGCTGGGGACAGGGACACGCCCACCAGGCCTAGATGGTCTTGTTTTTTTAAGGCAGTCAAATTTTGCAGCCTGGTTTGATGCCAGCTCCCAGGGCTTGGAGCAGCTATGCCCCTTGGGGTCCGAGACCCTGCCTGGCCAGATCTGCTCCTGCCCAGACTCCCACACATTCGTGGGAATTGGGTTTCCCTCGGCTCTGACCCGAGCCTGGGAGACCCTGCACTGCAGCTGGATACAAAGTGCAAAAAACTTGGCTCTTTCTGTAATCATTTAAAAAAAAAAAAAAATCAGTAAAAACTGAGTCTTGGTGCCCACGCCCTTCCTGGCCCATCGGGTCCTGGTGGCCTCTCAGGGTGTGGCCCTGGCCCTGCGGGCGGAGGCTGCGCACTTGAGGCACTCTGTGCTTAGGCCCTGAGGAAGCCCAGGTGCGCCCTTGTCCTCCAGCAGGCCCCCAGCGACCAGGGCCCACTCAGGTTGGGCAGGAGAGACGCAAGCTGGGCCGTCCGTCCGACTGGTTCCAACTGCCAGCTTTATCAATGCAGCATTTATTTTAAAATTAAATTAAATTAAAAAAGAAAACCAAATTGCATCACCAGGTAGTTTTCTTGATTAAGGACGCAGCCTGACCAGGGCGGGCCGTGGCCGGGCAGCAGCAGCATCACACGGGGCCATTTAAGGCAGCTCCTCCTGGCAGGGCGTCCGTCTTCCTGCAGGAACAGGGTGGGGTTGGAGCCACTCAGGCTGGGGGCCCCAGGCCCTGCCTCACTCCCCTGTGCCCTCCTTGCGCAACCTGCTCACCTGTCCTTTGTCACTGTCCCCAGGGTGGCTGCCATGACGGGCCCTGGGGGGACTGCCACAGCCACTGCAGAAGAGACTGCCGTGGGGGTCACAGGGGGACCAGCCTTGCTTGGTGCTGTGGTCTCCAGGGGTGCAGCCACGGCCAGGGCAGTGGTGACTTCCTCAGGGGTGGGGCAGGCAGGGTCTGGCAGCGTGCTGTCAGTACACTCGGCCCTGTGTGGCAGACGTGGGCTCCAGTTAGAGGCGCCCCACCCTCAGTGACACCCCACCTCATGTGCCCGGAGACCAGCAGGGCGCAACAGCCCAGAGGTAGCCTGGGAGCTGCACACTGGGCCCCTCCTGCCCCTGCCGCTGTGGGCGGCCCAGGAGTCACGTGAGCTCCAAACACCAGTCACGGCCTCAGACCTTCCAGGCAGCACTCAGATCCTGTTCAACGTGAGGCACCTTGTTCGGGGCCCAGGGTGCTCCCGCTATGTGACTTCAACTCCAACCTTACACTACATGGGAGGTGGGGGCCACCCAAGGATGGGAACAGGACCCTGCTGGCACCTGGGGCCTGCTCTGGGGTGGTCAGGCACCCCAAGGCCCAGCCTGGCCACCAGGAGCAGATGGGCAAAGACACTGAGCCACAGTCTAACGCAGGGAGGAGCACTCAGACGCGGTGGGGGCTGTGAGCTGGGTCACCGAGGCAGGTGGGGACAGCTGCAGTGGTGCAGTGGGAGTTCCGGGTGGCTGTGTGCAGGGGCCTGGGGAACATGGTGCCTTACTCTGCGGATGACATTACCTGCTTTTCAGAGCAGACTTAAGAAGTTTTTGTATGTGATGTTTAGAAAAGAGGGTAAAGATTTTAAGAATTTCTGTGACTCTAAACTCAAGAAGGAATTAAGTCCACTCAGGGACGTTGTGTGATGTCCAACCCACAGGACTCTGGCCCAGGTGTTGGCGTCAGCAAGGACAAGGCTCCCCCCACCCCAACAGTGGCCTCTGTGGCCTTGGCCCCGCTTTCCCTGGGCTGTGACGCCCCTTGCTGCAAACCCACGGAGGGCAGGGTGGCTGGCTAGACAGGCCATGCCGTGTCTGGGGTCCCTGGAATGTGGGCCCAGGGCCTCAGGGAGCCTTGGCCAGCCACAGAGCCGGGCTATGAGCTGCAAGCAGACTGCGAGGTGAGGCTATGTGCCCAAACCGGATCTGCCACACCAATGGGATAGGTCTGGCCTGGCACTGAGCTCACAGCCTGGCTGCAGGAGACATCCAGAGTCCCACTACCCCAAGGACCACCCGGGGTCAGTATGCAGGGCCCTCTGAGGCATCAGACCCGCCCCACCTGTTGGAGCGGGGAAGGGCAGTATGGGCAGGGAGCACCCCTGGTCCGGCCCTTCCCAACCCTGGAGCCAGGAGTGGTTGGGGACAATGGGTGGACTTGCGGGCCCACAGGCACTGTTTCACTTGGAGCAGATGCCAAGTCCTCGCCCAGATGTCCAGCCTGGCAGGATCCAGCCCAGGCACCTCCCCGCTGCTCCCTGAACCTCAGGGCCTTTGCACCTCCTTGCCAGGTCCACCTGACCCTGGCGCCTCCTGCTGGCCCAGCCTGTGTCCCACGACAGCACCAGCTCCTGATGTGTGGGTGCTCCCAACTCCCCAAAGGCAGGAGCGGTGGTCTGTCTGTTCACTGATGGGGCCCAGAGACCTTCTTCCTGTGGGAGGTGCACAGGGTTGAGCTTGCTGGAGGGGCCAGTGGGCCTGGTCCCCTTGCAGGGGGGGATGTCTGTCCCACTCCCCAGGGACAGTTCCCCGGGGGCTCAAGGGCCTCTGTCTTCCTCCAGCCCCCAGCCAGCGTTCAGGTGTCCCGAGCGCACTCCTGAGGCACTCCCTGTCCTGTCCGAGCGCAACAGGTGTTTCCGAGGTGCCTGGGCTGAGGTGGGCATGTGTCTGGGAATTGGCACAGGGCCCCCACAGCAAGTGGGCAGCAGACTCGGTCTGGGCAAGGCCCACAGATGCACATCTGTCAATAGTGCGTCAGGCGGTGTCCTGCCCCCGCCATCCAGGGCACTCCAAGTGCCAGGCACCTCAGCCACTCCCGGAACCCCAAGAGCTGGGCTGTGCTCTCCAATCAGGGCCTCTGTGGCTGGGGCAGCCCCCCATGTCCCTGGGGTGCCATCTGGGACACTGAGGCCCCATCTTCTCATCTTAATTACTGACAACAGAGAAAACAGACACTATCGAAGAAGCCCCCCAAACCTGTCCACACTCTGTTTAAATGCACCAGCATCAGCCCCCACCCCAATTCCTGAGCCAGCCCCCGCACAGTCACGGGGCCTTGGGAGCTAAGAGCTGAGGACAGGGCCTGGAAGCCACACTGTGCGCCCAGGGCCCCAGGCAGGCCGCCATCCCCTCACCTGCCGACGACAGCCTCCTCCATCCTGGCCACTGTGGGCAGCAAGGGGGCCTCCTGGCTGGGGCCCCTGCTCATGGTGTCCATGGCACCAGCTGCCTTCTCATCATCCTCGCTGTCGGACCCCCCCGAGGAGCTGCTGTCGGAGACCACCAGGGGGGCCTTCCTGGTGACACACACGTTCCAGGCACACGGGGAAGCTGGGCCAACTGCAAAACAGGAGGACTGTGACGTCCAGTGAGGGCGGAAGGGCCACCAAGCACAGCCACCATGGCCTCAGAGCCCCCGAGCCCATGTGGGGCCAGCGTACAGCCTATGAGACATGCTGCACCGCCTGCGCGTGTGACTGTGCAGGAACCACATGAAGGGCAGACAGCTCACACACTTGCAGTGCTCTCCACGCAGGCTATCCTGTGCCCCACCCCACAAGACAGGGCACTGTGCCCTGGGCTCAGACCAGGAAGCAGAGGCCTGCAGGCCCCCTCAGCCCTGTGTGGCCTTGCCACGGCTCCAAGTCCGAAGGACCCAGCAGCAGGGACAGAAGTGTTGGGGCCAGCTGTCACTCGCCTGGAGCTCTCAGCCTGCTCCGGGTGAACTTCTCAGCCTGACTGGGGGTTGGGGGGCCAGGGGCTTTGACCAGGCCCCAGGACGGCTTCCTGCCGCCAGCCCATCCACACACTTCTCTACGCTGGAACCCCAGCACTGCTGCCCAGAACCTGGGCGCAGACCTGGGCCATGCAGCCTGGTCACATCTGGGTCAAAGGGCAGCCTGATGGCCTGGCGGCCCCCCCACCCCCACGACTGGGGATTCCATCTGCACATGGCTGGGCCAGTCCCACAGGCGCATGCAAGCCCCAGCATTACCACTGAGATGTGGCCTCATCTGGGGCCTTGCCACCTCCTTCCACTGTCCCTAAGGAAGGGCCGCCTGCCTCAGGCCTTGGAATTGGATAAGCCCAGGTTCCCCCTGGGCTGCTGCCATCACTGCTCCCACTCACAGGCTTTCTCCAGGTCCTGGCCACGGCTGCCCTCGGCATGGCTGCGTTCCGTGTCCACGGGAGAGCTGCACCTGGGCCCTGACTCAGAGCTGCAAACAAGCACAAGGTCAGGGAGAGCCCTCGGGGGACGGGCACCCACTGACCCCGACCCCGACCCCGACAGGGCTTCCCAGCACAGCCCCGCATGCTGAAGCATTTGTTACCAGCAGAAAGGCTGGAAGTCAGTGAACTTGGCCCAGCCTCTCTCCTCTGGAGCCAAGGCGCTGGCTGCCCACACGCTGGAACCCATGTCCCGCACCACTCCCGGGGCTGTGGGTGTCGCGTTCACTGGTTCATCAAACACCGCCGTCCACGCAGTGCCCGCTGGGGAGAGACACGGCCGCCAGGTGTGGGCAGGCCCAGGGTGCCGTGGGCAAAGGGGAGGCAGCATCTCCCACCCCTGGGTCACAGAGCTTGGCAGGAGCACAGGGCTATTCCCAGGAAGGACGCCTGGCTTGTGCCCTCACTGCTGGGCAGTGCCCCTGGGAGCAGCTCCCCACAGAGGGTGGCGTGGCCCCCAAGCCCTCTCAACACTGAGAGCAAGAGGGGTGGATTGAGGGTTCTGATAAACCACTGTCGCCCCTGGGGCGCATGTGAGTCACCGTGGGGCTATTGGGCACCTGTGGGCCCCTTCGGGCCTCCAGCAGGGCTGGCGACACGGGGGCGCAGCAGCTGCCTCCACACGCCAGCCACAGTGTCCTGACCAGGACCAGGTCTGGGGGAGGCAGGGCAGCTCGCCAAGCACTGCTGCCCCTTCCCTGGCTTTGCGTATCGGCCACCTTCCTCCTGCTGGGGACGTCCCTCCTCCCCGGGGTCCCCCAGCCCATCTTCTGTCTTGGCCCAGCACCTCCCAACAGAGACCTCCACCCCCCCGCCAGGGCTGAGCTCCTCAGTGCCGCCTGCAGGGCAGAGGTGAGAAGAGGGTCTGCTGGGAGGCTCCGCCTGTGGGCTGGACTAGCTCCTGCCGGACGTCCGGCTGTGCCCGTGCTGAGTGTATCTGAGGGGTGGTCAGGCCACGCGTGAGACACGTGCTGGTGCTGCCCAGACTGTGCAGGGCAAGTCCCTGATGGGGACCAGCTGGACACCAGACACCACCCGTGAAGATGCAGCTGAGTGACCACAAGAGAGGGGGCAGAGGCAGGAGACCACCCCGTGCTGGGCTCAGTGCACAGCGGGCCCCTGCCCAGGAGAGCGGCACAGGCATGTGCGGACAGAGGGGCAGGCCCAGGCCACAGGCAGCCCAGGATGCCTCGGCTCCAAACGAAGGCCCCGCAACACCCAGGCCAGGACACTACGTCCTGTCCCCAACACCTAAGTCCCCTGCCCGGCCCCAGCGCTACCTTCTGAATCAGCCTCCACTGGGGCACCTTCGTTGCTCACAGGGACCGTGGGGGTGCCTGCCCCAGAGGTGTCCCTGTCTACTTCCAAGCACACCTTCCCGTCCTGGCCTTTGTGCTCCAGGCCATTCCTTGAGCAGCTCTCTGAAGGCTGGGGGGCTCCAAACCTTGAGGAAGGGCACAAAGTCAGATGCCTGGTGGCTCAGGATGGGCACCCAACACTGGAGGGTTTGGGGGGCTGGGGCCGGGGCCAGGAGGGTCGAGAGAGAGGAGCATCGATTGGCTCCAGGCCTCAGCTCTGCCCACCTCTGGTCACCCTCCAGGCCCTGGGGCTCCCGCTCTGCGAGAGGCGGCATAACCACCAACACAGCGGCCAGGTGTCTGACACCTGTTCCTGGGGCCTCGTGCCTCTCGGCAGAGCTTCAGAAAGATGGGGGGCCCCGCACCTGGCTCTGGCCATCGCCCGGGTGACACAGCGAGTCTCCTTGTCTTCCCAGATGTCCTCCTCCTCGTCATCGTCAAAGGGCTGGATGCGGTCGCCGCAGCAGGCCTCAAACAGAGTTGTGCTGGGCTGCAAGACGGAACACTGAGGTCAGTTTCTTGAGGGTCTCAGGGAGACAGGAGACCTTGGGCTCCCAGAGGGGCCTAGCTCTCAGGATGTGGGATGCCTGCCTGGCTGGAGGGTGGGATGGGGGTGGCAAGGCGGCAACTCTGCTCTGAGCTCCCACATGGGGCCCCTCCTAGCCCTGCCACACACGTCCCCCTGGCTCAGGGCTCCCCATGCATCCCCCTGACAAAGGCTGAGCCCTGGGCACAGCCTGAGCCGCCTGGGCAAGTAGAATAAAAGAGGGCCGCATGCCCCGCCCCCACCAACATGCCCGTGTACCCCGGAGCAGCCCCTGCTCACTCACACTGTCCTCGTCAGCATCGATGTTGAAGTTAATCTCCGCGATCCTGTCAAACGGGGCACTGCAAGAGCAAGGCAGCCGACCCTCAGCGCCGCCTCTGCCAGTGCTGGTCCAGTGGGCTTGGCACTCTCGAGCGACCAGGGAACATTTGCTTTCTCTTAGGGGTCACCAGGCTACATTTCCAGCAAGACCACAGGGAGCTGCCCCCACGGGACCGGGGGTGGGGAGGGGAATCGGGCCTGCGTCTGAGGCAGAGGGTCTCCCGACACGTCTGAGCAGACTCACTTGATGTTGTCGTCTTGGTCTGCAAACTCCTCGTCGTTGAAGCCAAACTGATCGACGAAGTTGGCCGTCATCTGCTGGATCTGGTACTCGGAGAAAGCCTGGCAGGGAGGGCACCTGTCACAGAGCAGGCCTCAGACCCCGGCCACTCTGTGGGACCAGAATCTCTCTGGCTGTTCAGGAGTTTCTCTTCCAGCACAAGTGGGCACTAAATTCTGTCTGCTGAGGGCTCAGGATTCCATCAAAACTCAGGCTGCACGTCCACTGTGGTCACGCCGGAAATAGCGCCTCACTGGCTCTACGCTTCCAGTGTGGTCTCACCAAGGGTGCAGCGACTTGGGAGCTCTCCCCCCAGCCCCCCTCTCCCTACATATGCTTGGGGATGAGCCGCCTCTCCCCTTCGCTAGTGAGATGCCAGCGGGGACACGTCTAGAGGACTAACAGCCAGCAAGCGCACACAGGCGCTGGGAAGGGCCCGGCAGGGTGCAGAGTGCCGGCCACACCCTCACCTGCTGAAGGGACAGCTCGTTAGGGAAAGCACCCTCAATGTCCTCGTCCTCACTTGAGGAGTGAAGGTGGTGAGTGCTCACCTAAAACACAGGCCAGATGGGGTGGGAGTGTGAGCCAGCCCAGCGCCCCAGACCCCGTCCAGCCCAGAGTCCCAGCCCCCGTCCAGTCCAGTGCCCCAAGGACCCTGCCCAGCCTGGCACTTGTCAGACCTCTGGGCCCAGGAGGCCATGCCATAAGGAGGTGCCCAGGTGACCCTGAGGCCCCATGACGGCCCAACCCCCTGCTGCAGGTGGCACACGTGGCCTCAGGCAAAAGGAGACCTCTGCCAACAAGCTACAGCTGCTGCCGTGGGAGGGAAGGGACCCAGGGGTCCCAGCAGCTCTGCACAGAGGCCCTCAGGGAGCCAGCCCTGGCTGTAACACAGGACAGGGTCTGTGCCATGGACACCAGGCCAGAGGCTGCACTGCACGCCTGCAGGACACTCGCGTGCTAGCCGAGCAGGCAGGACCACGGCCCAGGTGCTGTGGTGCCTCACAACTCCCTCGGCCTGAGCGCAGGGCAGAGGCAGGAACGTCTGCCGGTGTCCTCGCACTGCGCTGCACGCCTCAGGAGCAGCCTGCGCCTCCTCACCAGGTCCACAGTGTTCCTGCGGTTGGTCTCGGTCAGCGTCTCCTCCACAAAGCTCTCCCAGCGGCCACGGCAATCCGCAGGGAGCCCTGCAAGGGAAGTGCTGCCTGGTGAGCCCTTGGCGGCTCTGTGCAGGTGGCGCAGGGCACCCAGGAGCTCCGGCAGGTGCATCCTGGTCCTGGGAGGGTGGGTGGTGTCGCCATGGTCAGCCCATCTGAGGGACAAAGGAGGGGCTTGCTGGATGGAAAGGGTTGTGCAGGCCTTGGGGCCACAGTAAGGGTGGGGTACAGCAACACTGTGCAGGGCTATGGAGACCTCGGTGGGCATCAGAGCTCTCAGTGTGCTGGTGTGTAAGCCCCTGAGCAACTCCCAGGAACAGGAAGAGAGGCTGAGAAAGCATCTCAACTTCCTTCTCCATCCCCGCTCACAGGCAGCCCGGAGGCGCACGCGTGTGCGTGTGTGCGCGCGTGCCTGTGTGTGTGCGTGTGTGTCTCTATCTGTGGGGGATGTCAGAGCCCCAGATTCATGTGTGTGTGTGTGTGTGTGTGCGTGCGTGTGTGTGCGTGCATGTGTGTGTGTGTGTGTGTCTCTATCTGTGGGGGGATGTCAGAGCCCCAGATTCATGATCTGGAAATGGTGTGGGATTAAAGAGCTTCCTGCCTGGAGGAGCCTTCTCTGGCCCCGCCTCCACCCCATCTGCTGTGCCCCTCTAGCGACACAGGGATGTCTTCCTGCCACGCTTGCCAAGCCACCCCCGCCCACGCACCCTCCTCATGTGTGACAATGGACCAAAGGCCTGATCTCACAATGGGCTATGGAGCGTGACCGAGATCCCCTCCCTATGGTGCTGGACAGGCCCAAAGCAGGGACTTGCTGGATGGGAAGGAGGACCACCCAGAGCTTCCCCACCCGATACCTGCCCAGGGGACCTAAACAGGAGAGGGCCATGTCTGAGACCACCCTCAGGGACAACGAGGCGGCCAATCAGGCAGGGCCACAGGCCAGCATCCACCTCTGCCTTATGGGCTGTGCCCAGCACTCACATAACCCACTGTGCTGCGGTTTTCTCAACATGATGCGGAGCAGATCCCAAGAGGCCTGTGTCTGCTTCAGGCTCACAAGCACCTGAGGTCTGGCCCTGATGCCAAACGGGCACCCCTGCACCAGCCAGACCATCTTCTGACATCCCTCTGGGGCTGTAGCCCCAGACTGAGGGCCAGGCCCCCGGGACAGACTCACTCGTGAACACCATTCACTGAGTACAAGCATCCATCTCACCGAGGCCCAGCCCTGTGTAAGCTAGGAGCAGACTGCCCTGGCCGTGACAGGAGGCGTGACTGCCACCCACCAGCAAACCTGGGGTCCTAATCACGAAGTCGTCACCCATTCGTGCATACACCAGTTCCTGGGGATCTCTGAGTCCACCTGCCTGTCCACTCGGACCACACCTTGAGGGGCCTGGGCACACCCTACTCAGGCTGGCAGGGTGTCTTCCTCCTCCCCAGCAAGGCCACACGGGCCCATCTGAGCCACCTGCCTCCCCTCCCCACCCCCTCCCCTGCTCAGCCCCTGCACTCAGGACAGAAGACAAGGACATGCCCACAGAGCTAGACTGTGTGCCCAGGACATGAGAGTGGCAGGAAGGAGTGGCAGTGGAGGGTGCCCGGGGTAGCGGGTCCCATGGGGAGAGGGTGGGGTGGCGCCCAGACAGGAGGGGCCTCATAGGCTGCACTGGGGGCTGCTCTGCTCAGGGCCCAGAACAGGACTGCCCACCCCGACCAGGGCTCGGCTGCTGTGGGCATGTCCCTACCACCTGCTCCTAGCAAACAGGGCGCCACCTTCTCCCCTGGCTCCCCTGAGACTCGTGCTAGGAAGGCCCCCAAAACCACCTGAGCTCAGAGCAAAGCTTGAACGTGGACTAGGACTGCCACACTCAGGCAGGACTCTGGGTGGCCCATGAGCCACAGGAGAGCCTGGCAATGCTTACGGCTTCTGAGCGCCAGCCGTGACCTGTCCTCGGCAGGGCCTGGGTCTCCTGTGCCACCTATTCAGATGCCTGACAGGGTCTCCACACGTCTCCCCGCAGAACCGACACACCGGACCTGGCCCACCCTGGGCAGAGATCCGCCGTGGGGAAGGGGAGGAAACAAGGGAGGCTGCAGGGTCCATCACAATATGGTGCAGTCACCGCCTGCTGGGGGCAGGGGCCGGAGGGCAGCGTCTGGCAGTGGGCACTTCGGATGCAGCTCCAGTCAGGGCCCCTGGCACCCACTACCAGCAAAGGGGTGACCAGGGGCGAGGGGCTCACCTCGGATGACCTCGCGGATGTGGGTCTGCACAGGGCCACGCTCCAGGTTTTGCACCACCGCGTTGGCGATCCTCGTGAGGTGGCCCATGTTCCCGCGCCTCATGCCACCCGCGGCCCTGAAAGCAACAGGCACCATCAGGGCGGCCACGTGGCCTTGCCAGACCAGGGGCGGGGAGAGCTGCCCGACCAGGCCCTCAGGTTGGTCTCCAGAGTAGCCGCCTGGCCCTGCTCACAGGACACTCTCGTCTGGAAAGCACCTGCCACGTGCAGCAGGTTCATCAATCTCCTACCAAGAGGCGCTCATGAAACAGACACAGCTCTCACCCCACTGTACAGATGAGAAAACTGAGGCAGAAAGGCTGTGGTGTGGCCCACATGGAGCAGGAACTGAGCCCAGGACTGTCAGCTGCAAAGTTCGGGCCCAGCATGCAGCGGGACGGGGCGTGGCCTCCACACCCCCAGGCCGGCTCAGCCTCTCCTCGCCCTACAGGAGGACCCAGGGCTGCGTCCACACCATACTGGACCCCTGTAGCAGGACAGCAAATGGGCGGGACAGCCTTGGGCCCTGGCACAGGACAACGAGCAGGACATGCTTCCTGACCCGAGGGAACACTCAGTTAAACAGAAGACACAGAAAAATTAAAACAAAGACACATCCCTGAGTACAAGTACTCAAGGAGGGTGCCCCAAGTTCTTGGGGAAGAGGAAGATGGGCATGGGAACACATGTGGGCAAAGTCCAGGCAAGGCGGCTGGACAGGGACCAGAGCAGGCTCCGGGAAGGGGCTGCCCCTGGCCCCAGTGCAGGCCTGGCCGTACCTTGGCCTGCCCTTGTCAGCTCCCTGTGTCCTTCCTGGGCAGCATTCACAGCTGTGGGCCCAGTAGCAGGGCCCCCTTCTGTGGCGGCCCTGGGGCACAGGGCTGTGCTGTATACCCGATGCCCACACTGAGCCTGGAGTTACACGTGTAGTGTCACCAGTGGCCTGGTGAGGGGCAGCTCTGCATCCCCGACTGGCCAGGCCCGGGTCCCTCAGAGGCGCACACCTCAGTGTCCAGGCGGCTCTTACTGTGTGTGGTCGTTGGCTTCCCAGGCCTCCAGGATCCTCTGTACCAGGCAGCACTTCTGGAACAGCTGTGGGGTGGGCGGCGTGAGTCGGGGTCTGCAAGGCTGCACCCCACCCCCCAGACTGAGCAGGGCCAGCAAACACCAGGTCTGAGTGGACCCTGCAGGCAGCGAGGAAGTCAGCACCAAGGACCCTGTGGGCTGCCACACACGTATAGCCCCCCAACCCAGAGGGAGGGGCTGCCAGGACCCCAAAGGCTCTTGCTGCTGAGCGCCCTGAAATGCAGCATGCCCCGCTCTCCTCCGCCTCCTGGATCCCCCGGCCCCTCTGGCCATCCTCCCACCTCCTTCCTCAGTGCCCAGAAGAAGGGCTGAGGCCCGCAGCATTTTTCTCACTCCCAGGCCCTGACACAGACGGTTTCTCGTGCCCGGGACGTTTATTCTGGACCCCAACTCACACCCTCACGCACCCACGGCCTATCTGGGTGAGGGTCCCCTGCTGGCCTGCTTGGCTCCTGCATACCCCTCCCCACCATGTGGCTCTCATCGACCCCTTGGTTGCCAGCTGTGGGGCAGACTGGACCTGTCTCCTCCAGTGCTGAACCCTGCCAGGCCTGCACACAGCAGGCGCCAGGACACCAGTCCTGGGCGGGCAGAGTGCGACCTGCAAGTCCACTCCAGCCCTGATGTCTTTGAGGCCTCTCGCCAGATGTCCGGGGAGCCCCTTTCTAAGCCTCTGCCCTCCTCTCAGCCGCGCCGCTCAGTCCAGGCCACCCCCTGCCGCCCCCTCCCTCCCAGGCCAGCGGCCTCAAATGCCATGAGCCCTATCAGTGCTCACGGCACCAAGCTGTTCCCTTCCTTCCTTCTCTGAGGACACTCAGAAAGGCCTGCTCTCTGCCAGGTGTGACGATGCAGATGCCGGGGCGGGAATAAGACACAGACGCAGACACCAGGCACTGCGCACAGGCCCAGGAAGAGATGGCTGGGAGCACATGACTGCGTGGGCCTTCCCAGGTGACAGAGAGAGGAGTGTCACGGAGAAGGTGAAGGCACCTACTTTTTAAAGGTCCAAATCCCCAGGTTTTCTCATTAGAATTTGACACATTTTCCCTTTCCCCTGCTTCTTCCCTCCTGATCTGGTCTAACAGTGAGCCGCAGACACAGTGGGGATACCCCAGGACAGCCCTGGAAGGAGGGGTACGATGGGGGCAGTGTCCAGGTGACTCTTCGCCCTTCAGGGGTGGCAGCCAACAACAGGCGAGACCAGCCTGGTACAGACGCTGCCTCACCACCTCCCCTGCCGCTGGCTCTGTGACCTGGCAAACCTGGTGTCTGTCCGTAGTTCGGCATCCTCGGGATGGTGACGGGAGAGCAGCACCCCCCCCAACAGGAGGGTCACAGACCACACGTTAGGCCCTGGCTGCGCCGCCTGCAGAACGCCCACAATCGACGATGATATCAACATAGTCTGGACAAGCTAAGGCTGCAGCGGGCAGTGTCACAGGGATGGTGGCGTGGACTTACGTGGGTCACCATCATGTTCTCAGGGAAGCCGGCGGCACGCTGAGGGGTCTCCAGGTTCCCGTTCGTGTTGCCAGGCAGAGGCTCCGCCTTGCTCTCGGATCCGCTGGCGTCTGCTCTCTCCTCCCGGGCGGCGTGGGAGAGAATGGCGGCTATGCATAGTTCCACTTGGAAGTGCAAAAAATTATTCCAGGTATATTTAAAAAACAAGTCCTGGGTAAACAGAGGATAGAAGAGAGTTCTTAGATTGGTTTTCTCCTAACAGCTGAACCACAAAGGTGAAGGGAAACCATTCCCAGATGTCATGCCCTCACTTCTCACATGTCCAGTCTCAGGCGGCCGGGAAACTGCTCCAGGATGGTCCCCTGCGACCCATGGCTCCGTCAGGCAGTTTCTTCAAAAGCCACCCACTCCTGTGATCCCCTGCCTGCTGGTTTCTGTCCCATTACTCTCTGCCCTTACCTGAGTAGCAGTCTTCCCTCTTTCTGTGGGTTTACTCTAGTGCCCTTGGATGGAAGTTTAACTCATTAATTTTTAGCCTCCCTTCTTTTCCAGTCTGGTTTTCTTGTGTGCGTGTGTGTGTTTTTTTTTTGACACACAGTCTCACTCTGTCACCCTGGCTAGAGTGCCGTGGCGTCAGCTCACAGCAGCCTCACACTCCTGGGCTCAAGAGATCCTCCTGCCTCCGCCTCCCAAGTAGCTGGGACTACAGGTGTGTACCACCGCGCCCGGCCTTCCAGTCTGTTTTTTAAAGGCTATACATTTTCTTGTATAAAATTCACTTTACATTCTACACGTCTTGCTATATGGCATTTTTATTTTTCTTCAGTTCTAAGTATTTGAAGATTTCATTTATGATTTTGTCTCTGACCCATGAGTTACTGGAATTGTGTTACATTCTCAAGCACAGAGGGATCCATCCAGAATGAGCAGACAAATTGTGAGCCCAAATCCAGGCAGTGCACGCTGAAGCCCAGAGGAGGTTCTGGCCACCTCGGGACTTGCCGGAAGACAGAGGCAGCTGAACGAGGACAAGGTGCTGTCCTGTCTCCCACAGAGCCTCTTCCAGCCCAGGACAGTGAAGGGACAAGGGCCATCTCACACATACCAGGGGCCACAGCAGCCTGGGTCCCAGACCCGCTGCTGCCCACATGGAGAGGGGACGTGCTGGGGGACAGGGATGGAGAGTATACTCCACACCCAGATATGAGTTTGGGTCCCCCTTTTATACCAGGAAGTGGGGAGCTGGAGAAAGGCAGGAAGCCCATCTGTTTGACACATTCCTGAATTCAAACTGAATTCAGCACCATATTTAAAAGAACTGCATACCATGACAAAGTAGGGTTCATTCCTAGAATGGAAGGATAGTTCAACAAATGAAAATCAATCAAAGTAATACACTACATTAATGGAATGAAGGACAAAAGCCAAATGATCATCTCAATTCACACACAAAAAAAGTCATTTAAAAAAGTTCCACACACTTTCTTGATAAAAATAATCAATAACTAGGAATAGAAGGAAACTTCCTCAACATGATAAAGGCATCTACGAAAGCCCACACCTCATAACACGTTCACTGTTGAAATACTGAAAGCTTTTCCTCTAAGATCAGTAACAAGGCAAGGATGCCCACTCTCACCTCCTCCATTCGACAAGTGCTAGAAGGCCTAGCCAGAGCAATTAGGCAAGAAAAAGAAATAAAAGGCATTCAAATTGGAAAGGAAAAAGTAAATTATCTCTGTTCCCAAAATATATGAAAATTCTAAAGATTCCACATAAACTGTTAGAGCTAATAAATGAATTCAGCAAAGATGTATAATACAAAATCAATACAAAACAATCAGTTGCATTTCTATATACTAGCAATTAACAGTCTAAAAAGGAAATTAGGTAATTTTATATATGATAGCACCCAAAAGAGTAAGATATTTAAGAATAAATTAAACCAAGAAGGTAAAAGACTTGTACACTGAAAACTGTAAGACACTAGTGAAAGAATTTAAAGACCTATTTAAATAAATATCAAGACATCCATGTTCACGGAATGAAGACTTAATATTGTTAAGACAATATTACCCAAAGTGATCTACAAATTCAATGCAACCTCTATCTCAATAGCATTTTTTTTTTTTTGCAGAAATGAAAAAACCCATTCTAAAATTCATATGGAATCTCAAGGGACCCTGAATAGCCAAAATAATCTTGAAAAAGAAGAACAAAGTTGGAGAACGCACACTTCCTACTTTCAAAACTTACTACAAAACTACCGTAATCAGAACAGTGTGGTACTGACATAAGGGGAGACATATAGACCAAAGGAATAGAATAGAGAGTCCAAAAATAATCCTTCACATATATAGGTCAACTGATTTTCAACAAGGGTTCCAAGACCACTCAATAGGGAGAGGACAGTCTTTTAAACAAGTAGTGCAGGGAAAACTGATTATCCCCATAGCAATAATAACGTTGAACCCTACATTACACCATGAACAAAAATTAACTCAAAGTACATGAAAGACCTAAACATAAGAGCTAAACTATAAAATCTTCTGAAGAAAACAGAGGAAAAGCTTCATGACATTGGATTTGGCAATGATTTCTTGTATATGAAACCAAAAGCACAAGCAACAAAAGAAAAAAAAAAGGTAACCACATTTCATCAAAATTAAAACTTGTGTGTCAAAGGTCACTATTGGCTGACTGCAGTGGCTCATGCCTGTAATCCTAGCACTTTGGGAGACTAAGGCCAGAGGATCGCTTGAGGCCAGGAGTTTGAGACCAGCCTGGACAACAGAGCGAAACCTCGTCTCTATAAAGGATTTTAAAAATCTGCCAGGCGCCTGGAGTCCCAGCTACTTGAGAAGCTGAGGCAGGAGGATCAGCTGCACCTGGGAGTTCAAGGCTGCAGTGGGCTATGATTGTGCCACTGCACTCTAGACCGGGTGACAGAGTGAAACTTTGTTTCTTAAAAAAAAAAAAAAAAAGATTACTATCAAGAGTAAAAATATAACCCAAAGAAAGGAAAAAAATACTTGCAAATCATATATCTGATAAAGGATTAATAGCCAGAATATATAAAGAACTCCTACAACTCAAACAAAAAAATAAACCACCCAACTCAAAAATGGGCAAAGGACTTGAACAGATATTTCTCCAAAGAAGATATACAGATGGCCAACAAACACATGAAAAGATGCTCAACATCACTCATCATTAGGGAAACGCAAATCAAAGCCAGCATGAGACACCACCCCACACACCTACGATGGCTCCTGTCAAAAGAAGGAAAACAACAAGTGTTGGTGAGGGTGTGGAGAAGACAAAATCCTCAACAGCAGGAATGTAGAATGGTGCAATCCCTGTGGAAAATAGTTTGGTGGTTCCTTAAAAAGTAAACCACAGAATTGCCCCGTGATCCCATGATTCCACTTCTAGGTATACATCCAAAAGTGCTGAAGGCAGAAACTCAGATATTTGTACACACACGTGCACAGCATTACTCACAACAGCCAAAAGGTGGAAGCAACCCCAGTGTCCATTGATGAACGGATAAACAAAGTGTGGTCTGTAATACAACACAGTGATTCAGTCCTAAAAAGGAGGGAATTTTTGACATACACTGCAATACTGGGCGAACCTTAGGGACATTATGCTAAGTGAAATAAGCTGGTCACAAAAAAAAAAAAATACTTGGCTGGGCGCAGGGGCTCACACCTGCAATCCCAGCACTTTGGGAGGCCAAGGCAGGAAGACTGCTTGAGGCCAGGAGTTCTAGACCAGACTGAGCAACACAGCAAGACCCCATCTCTAAAAATAAAAAAAAAAAACAAAGAAAAAAGAAAAATCCGCTGCCATGGTGATGCACGCCTGTAGTCCCAGCTACTTAGGAGGCTGAGACAGGAGGATCACTTGAACCTGGTAGTTTGAGGTTGCTGTGAGCTGTAATGTCATCATTGCACTCTAGCCTGGGTGACAGACCAAGACCCTATCTTGCAAAAAAAAAAAAAAAAAAAACAGCACAAGCATTTCACCCCCAGCACCTGCTGTAAGGTTTAGGAGCTATGTGCAAAAAAAAAAAAAAAAAAAAGACAATACTCTCACTGCATTTGTATAATAAACCTAGAATAGTCAAATTTCGAGACAGAAAGTAGATTGGTGATTGCCATGGGCTGGGGAGGGGTAATGGAGAGCTAGTGTTTAATGGGCAGAGTTTCTGTTTCGGAAAATTAAAAAGTTTTAGAAACATATAGTTGTAATAGTTATACATGTTTGTGAATGTACTTAATGCACTGAATTGTATGCTTAAAAATGGTTAAAATGGCAAATTTTATGTTATTTTACCGCAATAAATATAAACAAAAGGAAGAGAGTGCAAATGGGAATTCTTTTGAAAAGAAGAAAAGGAAAGTAGGTCTTTTACGATTGCTCCCCTGCTCCAGACGGGGAGTTCAGAGTCGCAGCAGTGCCCAGTGACTTCCAAATGCTGAAAGAACTTCTGAGGCAGACAGCACTTCAGGTCCAGCTCCGAGGCTGGCTCAATTTGGGACTAAGATTGCAGAGAGATTCCAGCTTCCTGGGGGCAGAGGCCCAAGAGCAAGGCAGAGGACAGGGGCTGTATCTGCTGGCAGCACGCACTGAGGGCCATGCCCCCCATCAGCACTCTTCTTCTCAGGGGGCAGCCTGTGCTCCCTGCAGTGGAGCTGCTGCCCACAGTCAGCGCCACCCACCACCCTCTTCTCAGACACCCAGAGCGTCCTGCAGGCCCCTGGGCAGCATCTGCTGAACAGAGGAGCATTCCCACTGGCTCTGACAAGAACTGCTAGGGTGACTTTCTATTGTGGAAGACGAGGAGCTTTTCTTTTAGCACATTTTACATTTAAGAGCTACAGTGTAGGTTCTATCTTGTTAAGTCAGAGTATGAGAAAGCAGATAGATATATTAATCCATTCCCTCAAACAACAGGATTAGATATCTGCCCTCTACTTTCAGGGTGATTCCTTTTTTTTAGAGAAAGAGTCTTGCTCTGTCACCTGGGCTGGAGCACAGTGGCACCATCAAATCTCACAGCAGCCTCAAACTCCTGGGCTCAAGGGATCCTCCTGCCTTGGCCTCCTGAGTAGCTGGGACTACAGGCATAAGCCACTGCACCTGACCCTTTCAGGGCAATTCCACAGCAGATTCACTACCTCCTGTGAACCTGTGGCCAAGGCACTGTCACTCTGTGTCCCACCAGCAACCTATGGTCAAGCCTTGGAACTTGGGACCACAACCTCCCGCTAGGCAGACCTTTGTCCAAGTGCTGAGGTCCAGCTGCCTGCTCCAATGTACCCTGCTCTGCTGCCCCTGACCTGTGGCAGATCATGCAGGCACAGTCACAGATGTGTGGGCTGGCCGTGGAGCTCTCTCACCAGCAGTAAGTCCATGGTGTTGAGCCGGCAGAGCTCCTGGTTGATGCTGGGCGTGTTTGTGTGCAGCAGCGCGGCCATGAGGCGGGCACCATGCAGACGGGCGTTCCCCAGGGGCTCCTCCAGCACACCAATGGTGGTCAGGATTGCTTCTTTCTACAAACACAGGAGGCACCACCCAGTTGGAGACTTGTGACCAGTGATGCCACTGCCAGCTTCTCTGAGCCCCCTGTGCCGACTGCTCAAGGGCTGGGGCCATTGCTCCATGATATGGCCCAGCCTAGGGGAGAGTGGGCCTGTGTGTGGGGGTCCTCAACAGAGGGTTACCTGCAAGAGGCAATGAGGGGATTGACAGGCTAGAACCCCTCCGCTCCCCTCAGGGCCTCACGAAGAGTGGCCAGGGCAGTCCACTGCTCCCAGGAAGCCCAGGGCACTCTGGTCTGAGCCTGCCAGGACAAAGGGCTGCGCAACTCGGCATACGAGAGGTGTCCAGGGTGGGGCCCGTGGGACCAGTCTGAGGGTGGCCAGACCTCACAATCGACTGTAGATGCCCACAGGGCTCTCTCTGGGGACCCGGCCTCAGGACACTGAGTTAACAAATGCCACGAGAACACTCTTGGGAGACTGGTGGTAAAGCCGACCTCGTCAGACGGGATGCAGGTATTTTCTGATCCCGCAGTCAGCATAATGCGCCTGCCTTCTCATTAACTGAATGTTCCAGGCTGGCAGAACAGAATCCCTGCGTCCACGAAGCTTACGTACTAGTGGGGGAGGCAGACGACAAACCAGCTGGTGAGATAAACTGACTGCCGGTCAGGTGGGCACTGAGCACCAGTGAGGCGCGGGGCCGTGCCTGGAGAGAGGGGCTACAACCAGAGACTGGCGGGTAGGGTGCTGATGGCTGAGGTGGCAGGCGCCTTTGTGCACATCACCCTCTCCAACACGGCCGACGCACTGCCCGGAGCTGCTGAGCTGAGCAAAGGGCCTCCTCTGGGAAACCTGCCCCCACCGGAGCTGAGTGTCCCTGAGCTGGGTGTCCCCAGCTTGGAGGCCAGGCCTATGGTGACCTCAGGCTTAGCCTCCTGGGGAGGCTGCCAATGTCCCACTCCCAGGCCTCCCTTACGGAGGCAGAGACAGACATTCACAGATGGGGGTCCTGAAAATGTGTGTTTCAGCATCAGCTGGTGGTCTTCAAGTGGGGGTCTGGAAATGGTAGTGTTAGTGCACATTCATTCCACACTGCCCCGTCTGGGATAAACTGTGGGGTCTTCTCCTCATGAATCATCCAATCCTATGACATCTCCAAAGGCGCTCAACAGCCTTTTATGGCCATTTACCTTTGGCGGGTTGAGCAGGAGCTGGTGGAAGTCCTTCAGCCGTGGCTCGATGCCCTGCAGTACACTGCTGCTGACGACGTACGACCTCTCCAGTCCCTGAGAAAAGGAGTCCACCAAGCCCTCTGTCCTGTGGAGAGGAGAGCAGATGGGGACGCGGCGCACCCAGGCCTCACCTCATTCCCTAGCCAACATTTCAACTCATCGTCTTCTTCCAAAAAGAGCTCTTTTTAATTTTCCCAAAAGCAATCTCAACGGTGAAGCGACTTAAGGCCTCCACGCATGATCTGATGACTGCCAGAGGGAAAAGAAAGGCACCAGGTGACATTCGAGAATGCAGAGCCAGAGGAAGTGACCTGGGCCTCGCGCGGCCCCTGGAGAGGCCGCTCCTCCTCCTGTTTTGAAAATATTCACTGTTGTCCCGGCACTCAGTGGGGACACTCAGCTGAGAAACAGCAGACAGGACTGGCCTCATTGTCCCTTTGGCTTTTTCAAGCAAGTTTTTCTAACTGAGGTATTTGTAAAAGTAATATGTAATCATATTATGAAAATTTTTAATATACAAAAGGATAAAAAAAAAAAGAGAGAGAGAAATAGCTGGCTTATCTCTGTTTTCCTAATTTTTTTGCAGCATCTCCTCCATTACATGCAGGGTTGAGCTCGGCCCTCAGAAGTCTCCCAGATTTTCCGGGTTTACGAAGATAAAAAAAATCAATATTCTGGTTGCCTAACTAGAGAAAATGATTATAATGTCATAATTCTATTTTTAGGGAATAATCTAATAAATATTAATAAATGTATTAAGTAGTATGAGGAGGAACTGCTAATAATCTCACTACCAAGATTAAACCAATTTCTTGTCATTTTCCTGTTCTTTTTTCCTTTCATTTTAAAAAAAGCACAGGCTATCAGCGCTGGGAGCTAACTGAAGGTCTACATAGCAAGTGGAAATATGGGAACTACAGCCACCTTCAGAGAGTCCGACACTGCTGCAGCACTTGACGGGACAGAGGAGACAGGGATGTCCTGGAGACTGCAGGGCCCGTGGCACGCAGGGAGCCTGAGCCCACTGACAGAGGGCGACGACTGGGGAGAAGGCAAGAGGGACGGTGCCCGGAGAGCTGCAATGTCCTCTCGTCTGTGGCCTCCTCTCCTGGCCTCCCTTTGCCACTTGCAGGGTGCCCCAGAAGTCCCATTTGCTCGGATGGTCTTGGCGGTACCCAGCCCGCTGTGACCCGAGAGCCAGACTAGGCCCCCTTGATCCAGAGACAGTTCCAAAGACTTCCTGAAACATCTACCTGGGGTCCTGGAAGTGTCTAAAACACCTGTATCCCCAACAAACTCGACCTTTTTCACTCCAACTTGCTTCTGCTGGCTCCCCATCTCTGCCCCTCAGGTGCAGCTGTCTCACCCACATACTGCCCCCTACTCGTGTCCATACCGGGATCCCCCAGTGCCTTAGCCCAGGGACTGTCTCTCACTAGATGCAGCCTTCCAGGGAAAATCTCCTTGACCTGGAGGCTCTGCCCAGTAGCCTGTCTCATGGCCTGGATGGCACTGGGTGCGTGTGCACTTCACCCCCCACACGGCACCGTGCTTCTTGTCCACACGCTCATCTCCTGTGCCAGATGGGGAGCACAGAGAGGAGACAGGCCACATCTCAGCTATCTCCTGGGCCCCTTGCTGGTGACGTGGTAGGTGAACAAATGACACCTGATGCGTGAGAAAGCAAAATGGGGAGAGCTGCCTTCATTCAATGCTCAACAGACAGTATTAACCCACACGTACGTGGGCTCAGGAGACGAAGATGAACACAACACGTCCCCCGGCAAGGGCCCGCAGTCTGGCACAGGCAATGGGTGTGTGTATACACGTCACCGCACACCGGGGTGGAAACCCTGTGGCACACTTACACGCACACACACGGAAGCCAGGACTTCTCAGAACAGGCCTTGAGGAAAGCCTGCCAACCACGCCTATTCCACACGCGCCTGTGAACACACCCGCAAGGCAATGGTGGGTGCCTTTGGGCTGGGGTGGAACCACAGCAGACAGTGAGGGTCAAAGGGAACTTGGCCATAGCAGTAAGGTAGACCTTTTCAACAAGGGGACTCTGTCCATGTTATTACTTGTATAATCAAAAAGTAATGAAAACACAAACGACGTAATCCAGACTGATCATCTGGGCTGCCGTATCAGTAGTGTCAAACTCTGCTTTCCTATGTTTTCCCTTGTGAGTGAGACTCACCCAGCCCGTCTGGTTTCCAGCAAGGTGAGTAACACCTGAGTCCCGCTGACAAGGCAGCTCTCGGTCTGGTCTTCATCAAACATGTTCCTCAGAAGCTGCTCCACGCAGTCCTGCCTGGCAGACACACAGACAGGGTGCGGGGTGGCCTCTCCTCGCTATGCAGGACCCCAGCAACGCCCCTGTTGGCCCCAGCTCCCTGGACCTGCCACGTCCCCTGTGGAGACCCCTCCCTTGAGAAACAAGCCCTTCAAATTAACCTGGGCTCCGAACCTGGGAGCATTTCACAGCCAGCTCATCAGAATCTGAAACAGAGGAGGGGGGGCAGCCTGTCCTGGGGCTCAGAGACGTCCCCTTGACGCGGGAGAGGCCCACCAGCACTGCAGCCCACCAGTACTCACGACTCCAGCGTGGCGAGGAGGGGGTCTGGCTCCGCAGCCTCCTGCAGCTGACTGCCCTGGTCTCTGCCCAGCCTAACGATGTCACAGAGAGTCTGAGACGCATTCGACTGCTTCTGGAAAGACAAAGGAAACACAGAGCCCCTCAGTGCTGAGGAGAAACATAGCAGAACCAGCCTGCTCAGCACACCTGGCGCAGGCTGCTCGCTTCTCTGAAGTGTCAGACTTTCTCTAAATCAGTTTCTACGAAGATTCCAAACCAACAGCTTCACTTCAGAGAAGGCTGTGTCTGCCTTTTCCATGTCAAAATGTAGATTTGGTTAGATGTTCTTTTAGCTGTACTGAACCACCCCCAGGAATTCAAAAATAGGGCTCATAATGGTCAAATGTGCAACACAGATCCTGCTCTCCACCCCTGGCCCACATTTTGATATATAGGGAATATGTCACCATGTTATTGATACTGTATTTTAAATCTAATAATAAGTAGCTACTATGACTCAGAACGAGTCCTGTGAACTAATGAAAACAGGAAAGTTGCTACAGAGAAAACAACCCTCACCCCCAGTGAAAGTTCGGAACACGACTCATGTGCCCTTGCTGACAGGGTGGGGTCTTCTGTAGAGAGAGGGACACAATTAAGGGAGGAACACAGCCCTGCCTCCGTGCAGCACTGCGCACGTGCTGTGGGAAGACTTAGGCAAAGCAAATACTTACGTGGCTTTTTCAGGGAAAAATTAAAGCAGCCAGGTTGGCTCTGTGGCCTTGAGCCTGCCTTTAGGACCAGGGGAGGCCACTCAGCTGCCACTCACACCCAGGGCTGGGCTGCACCTTTCAGACCTGGAGGCATCCAGCACCAACCTGGCCGCCCCCATCTATCTGGGGGTGCCCCAGGGGCACGGGGAACAAAATAGAGCAGCTGGGCAGCATGGAGGCCCCCGACGTGAGCCAGCACCACTGTTTTCAAATGTGCAAAGGAGAGTATGTGGATATATAAATATTTATAATGCATAGAAAAAGGCCTATCAGTGATTAACGCAGGGAGGGGGTGGCTGAGAGGAAGCCCCATTGTTACTTTACATGCTTCAAGGGTGGGTGGCTTCTAGGAGGCCCCTGAAGATCCCCTCCCAGAATTCAGGCCCTTATAAACCCATCTCCTGAGTGCACGCTGACTCAGCCACTCACACTGAGAGAGGAGGATACAGCAAGAGTGGCAGCTGCTGCCCACATGAGCGTACAAAAGACTGATATGCCAGCTGCCCTGCAAGAGGCCCACGTGGTGCAGAGCTGATGGTGGCCTTGGCCAGCAGCCCCTGAGGAGCTGAGTGCTGCCAAGCCACTTGGGACTGTGAAGCGGA